ATGTTGTAAATTGTTTTAGTTTACGAATACATAATGGTAGAAAGTATCTGAGTATATCAGCTATACAGTGTGAGTCACGTTAAAGTGTACATATGAAAATAGATGAAACTAGACCTATTTTTATCGACAAAAAAGAGGTCAAAAAATTTTTGAGATTTTTTTTTAATTTTTTATAGAATTTTTTTTCTTCCAATTACTTATTGTAAAGAAAACGTAATAACTTTTAAACTAAGCGGTATATCCTGATAACATAAAAACTGTAATAATGCTAAATAACAGGCGATACTAAAAAAATACATAAAATACACAAAAAAGGCCAACAAATAATAAAAAATGATACTTTTTGAAAAAAAAACTGCTTAAAAATTCGTGTTTTTTTGGTTATTTGATAAATTTCTCCAAAAAATGCCCCTATAACAGGTGGTTTTTATTACTTTGTATTATTCTCCATCGTATTATCTTTGTAAAACCAAAAATCGCATGTCTCTATCCCTATCACAACATTTGCTATGAGCGTTTGAACAAAGGCCTGCCACAACATTATTCTCCGCCTGCAGGTAGTGAAAATTTTAATTTTAACTAAAATGCTTATTTTACTTCGAAATCTTTTGTTTTTATTTAAATTTAACTTGTCTTTATCTAAATTACAAATCTAGAGCCATTTTCAGTTTCGTTGTTAACGAAGCGTTGAATAGCGCGCCCGGAGAGGCTAAGTTCAAACGATCATTGCAAATGTTGTGATAGGGATAGAGACATGCGATTTTTGGTTTTACGAAGGTTATACGATAGAGAATAATACAAAGTAGTAAAAACCACCGGTTATAGGGGCATTTTTTGGAGAAATTTATCAAATAACCAAAAAAACACGAATTTTAAAGCAGATTTTTTTCAAAAAGTATCATTTTTTATTATTTGTTGGCCTTTTTTGTGTATTTTATGTATTTTTTTAGTATCGCCTGTTATTTAGCATTATTACAGTTTTTATGTTATCAGGATATACCTCTTAGTTTAAAAGTTATTACGTTTTCTTTACTATCAGTAATTGGAAGAAAAAAAAATCTATAAAAAATTAAAAAAAAATCTCAAAAAATTTTTGACCTCTTTTTTGTCGATAAAAATAGGTCTAGTTTCATCTATATTCATATGTACACTTTAACGTGACTCACACTGTATTATTAGCCCAACTATCTAAGTAACATTCCAGAAGTAAGGTTTTACTTGTAGGCGATCCTTCTTTTGAGTTTAGATGTCTTAGAAGGTACCATTGCTGCAGATTTCGATTCTGAATGGTGTATATTTTGCCTATCAAAGCTCTCAAAGAAAGATGACACATGCCTGTAGAGATAATTTGTCTTTAGTGTTCTAGGCCACTGTTTATAATTTTAGTAAGTTTAACCCTTGTCAAAATTATTATTTTATGTCTTTCAGAAATTCTGTTTATGTTTTTATGTCACACGGTTAGTAATTAGCAAGGAAAAAAATATTAGTTTGATTTATTATTAATCGACTGTAATTAAGGAGCCTATATGTGATGCCAAGTCAATTAACACTGAAAAATGTCTAAGTTTTTTAAATTTGCCAAAAAATAATTAAATAATGATTAAAAATTGATTACATTTACTACTAGATCCTTTATTAATAGTTATTAGATATATATCAACTCTTTGATAAATTCAAATTGGTTCAGATATGAAATTATGAAGAATTTTAGATACGGGTCTGTGAGACCCGACGTCCATGGGAGTGTGATTATTTTTTCACGACTATAGTTAAAGGTTAAGCAACTACGACCAACAATAACGCTTTGAAAAAAGTTATAAGAATAAAGAAGAACGGTCATCTGTGACCCAGGCCCGACAGAAACGAGACATACCTCAGTTTATTTGTCATGTCTTAATTAGTTAAATTATATATTTTTTATTTTCGAAATCTATGTATAACACCAAAATATTACCCTTTGTTTTTGTTCAGGCGTTATACAAAAACCAATACAAAATGCCTATTTATCACCAAAATTGGTAAATGTATGTACCTAAATGTCTATTACAGCTGCTATGAAATGTATCTAGGTTACCTGGAGATACAGCCGGATTATACAGGGTGGAAACGAGAAGTTACAAAATCCAAAAATTCAATGTTACCAGCTTCCATAATCTGTAACCTATTATTGGTACCATATGAAAGAGCTCGTGAAGCACTTTCAGAATCAGTAACTAGTTTTTCGATATCTTGTATAGTTTAGAAATAATCGAGTGAGATCACTTATCGTTCCATATGTATAACCACCCTGTATAATCCGGCTGTATTTCCAGGTCACCTAGGTACATTCCATAGCAGCTGTAATAGACATTTAGGTACATACATTTACCAATTTTGGTGATAAATAGGCATTTTGTATTAGTTTTTGTATAACGCCTGAACAAAAACAAAGGGTAATATTTTGGTGTTATACATAGATTTCGAATATAAAAAATATATAATTTAACTAATTAAGACATGACAAAAAAACTGAGAGATGTCTCGTTTCTGTCGGGTCTGGGTTTTTTTTGTATGGGGCGTGACCGTTCTTCTTTAAAGAGCAATACATCGCCGAGTTAGACGGCTTGTCAAATTAAATTGGCGACAGTAATTTGTTACCAATACTCGAGGTCCTTCGACCTCGTTAAATTTTAATGAGACCATTAATCCAATAAGTGTACAAAGACAAATGACAGAACTTAATTAAACATTTAAAAATCATCTTGCAGACACAAAATTTAATCAATAGCAAGAAAAGTTCGGGGTTTTCTTGCCAACGGACGTCTATATTAGTTAATATTAGGTATCTATGTGTTTTGTAGAGACCATTTATTACAAAACAACCCTTAAAATTCTACTGAACTTTATTAGTCCTAGGTTATGTGCTGTAATTGAAATTCTATTATTGAATAGCCTTAATCTACGCTTGAAATTGAATCTAATTTTGTGCTTCGTTCTGTATTATTCCACGCCTTAGTTAGTCAGTAACACATATAGCACATCTTAGTACATACCAGCACATCAGACTTACATTTTTGTTACAAACTAGCATCTACATATTACAAAAGATGCTTAACTTGATGTGCCGTTGATATACAATATTCTTATTTTTCAAACTCCAGGACATTCATCCACGGACAAAACAAAACACTACACATTTTCTTCCTCCCTTTCGTGACAAAACACAGCAAGGGACACGGCAATTTCAGCTCTACAATTGTTCACTTCCCGTCTCACTATCTCTACAATAACGAACTCCCAGTTTTCCCGTGAAGTTTTCTCAGGGATGGATTGAGGGTTACAGGGCCTTACAGTGCTGAGTCCCGGGAAACGAGATACGTATTGAAGAGGTCGTAGAGTACCTGGTATTGAAAAGTGGACGACACGGTTGACCCACTTTTATTTTTTTACGGGATGACGGATGTACCTACGTTGTATAATACATAATATGTGTTGTAGACTGTGTGCAAAAAAGTCATATTTACAGAGGAACTTAATACCTAGGTATAAAACATGCAAATAATGGTTTACTAAACTATTGTATCTCTAATTCGATTCTGAAAAACTTTAACTTGGACATGAAAAATTGCTATGGTAGTTTATTTAAGGAACGGAATAATACTCTTACATTCAGTCAGAATCTCAGATCATACTATGATCTGAGGTAAGAATCAAATAAGTATAATTTTATTAAGAAACTATACATAAATAGAAAATTCATATAAAGTCAGTTATAATAATACATAAATAGATGCTTAAAATAAAATTGCATATTAAATCCATCTTAAATAACTTTACATAACTTTCTTATGTTACCTGAATTAGGTAGATTTAATCTGTATTTTTCCAAATAAGTAAATTAAAAAATAACTTCTATAACCTTTGACTCAATCTAGCACTGATTTTATCAGTTAGTCTAGAAGATAGTACACAAGTAGACATAAAGACTTAACCCTATAATAAATTGTCTACTTGAGGATATAGATACAGCCCTGTGCATCCCAATAGAAAGTAAGAATTTTTCTCCCAATGTTCTTTAACTTCGGGATTAGTTTTAGAAGAATGCTCGGCAGTGACCATTGAGGAAATGGATTCCGCTTTTTACATGGTTCTCTTCGAATTTAAGTTTGCCAGTTTAATACGGTAGTTTTTTAGAATTTAACGGCATTAAAAGTTGAATTCCGAGCTAGTTTTCTTAAAGGTAATTTGGTATTCGAGAGACGTAGCCTATTTTTATGTGTCATAAATTCACAATTGAGTTTTATAGTCCCAATTGAATTAAAGTTTACGGTCTTGTAATTTTATTGGAATACGCGTCATTGTCCCCAATTTTTGTTTTAATTAAAATGACCATGGCAGTTAATACGAGTGTTTATAAGTGTCAAATCAAGCTATAGTTGTAACATAATAAAACAAGCAATGTAGCTAACAACAACATTGGTATGAGATAAAATTATCTATGACGCCATGATTGCAGTAGACTTACAAACCCTGCCATAGCCAGTGTTTTGCATATTGAGAAGCATCTTAAAATTACGTATATTAAAGCATTTGCAGTCAATTAAACTGATCAGTAGGACTTACGTACCGTACATCCAAAAGAACTGGCCGTGTACTATGAATTTGAATTTAAGATTTCACACACGGTCAAATTTTGGATTTTACATCACTAAACTGACCATGAATGTCCAGCTTAAAGTGAGTATGGACTAGACCATTTCTATGTATGTTCTTACGAATGGTAAACAAAAACAATACAGGTAAAATGTGCCTACGACGTTTGGTTCTTGAAAGGATATCACCCCACCAAACGTCGTAGAACTAGAACATAAATGTAAATGATTACATAGAGCGGCTCGTTGTTCTGAAATAAATGCTCTAGCTAGTTTATACTCACCGTTAAAGTATCATTTCTCCATACCTACCTCAGAAGCTTATACCAATCTCTCACCTCCACTTGACTGAGCACTGTAATGTTGCAGGCGGTATCCGACTCCATGCTGGTGGAACTCAAGGCGTGCTTCATGGAGGCGTATGACGACAACCAGGACGGAAAGATTGACATCAGAGAGGTAACACTCGCGTACATTGGTTTTATTTTGAGGTATTTATACTTACAAGAGAAATATAGGAGGTTTTTAAACCACAACGAGGAAAGCTCTTGAGCTCTATCTCACAGGAAGTGATGATCAAACTGAAGGTGAAAGCGAGATTCACTCGAAATCCTCATCTAGAGAGGAACTGGTATCTTACTATCTCCAACTGCCGAAACTACTTAGAAAGAATGGTGGTAGCTAGCCAAGCGGACTTAGAAAAACATAACACACCTCACCTTCTGGCGCAGTCGGTGATATCAAGCCGCATTTGGCACATAACGCCACCTGATGTTTCCATAAATTGACAGAAGTAAGCCAGCGTGTGTAATAGCATGGCTTAACGCGTTAACTGTTTGGACACAATAACGTTGTGCTATATAAATGTAGTTCTTGCAACTCACGAATGCGAGTGAGCTTTACTTGTGTGTGTACGTGTACATGCACATACGATAGTGTAATAATGTCATATAAAAACTTGAAAAACGAACAGTAGCGAGCCACCACACATGTAAAGCTCACTCGCTTTCGTGAATAGGCTAGTTGCCTAAACAAATTTTTTTAGTCCGTAATGTTTAATATCAAAAAATATTAGACACATATATTTTTATTTGTCAATCTAACAAATAATTACATAGTTATGGTGCGTTGAAGTTGCGCACGACGTCACAACGTGCGGCATTTTTAAGCAAGCGTTGACGTCACGGGCCTCTTCTTATGAACTTTGGGGCGCTTTATCTCTTTAAATTTTCATTAGTTTGAAAAAGTGAAAAATACGTGTAGAGTATTTTTTTATAAGTTAACTGACGGACTAATTAAAACTCTTGCTTTTTGACCCAGGCAATTGCAACAACATAATATTATAAATGACCCACGCTGAACTGTCCCACCAAACTCCATGACAGGGGGGCGCTACCATCGTTCAACTATATGGTTTCCAACATGGCAAAAAGCAGCGATCCGGTATTGACGGTGGCGCCCCACTGTCAATGTCATGGATAGGACAGTTCAGTATTTTGGAACTATACAGTCATGTCACAATCACGCTAGCTCTGCACCAGTTTCAGCAAGTTTCAGAAACTCGTAGTTGCAAGTTAATCGTTTATTTGGTTTCCAGCTTGCCCAACTGCTGCCCATGGAGGAGAACTTCTTACTGCTCTTCAGATTCGACAACCCCTTAGAATCTAGCGTCGAATTTATGAAAGTAAGTTTAAGCTGTTTTTCATCCATCGACTCTTCCATAATTAGTTATACCTACTTACTAATATTATAAGTGCGAGAGTAAGCCTAAGCGCAGACCAAACAATTTTTCGTCGGCCGATAGTTTAGTCGGTTGACATATCAGTATGAGCATGTATGGAAGTGCCCAAATTACACAGATTTGATTTTTAGACAACTATCGGCCGACTAAAAGTTGGTGGTCTGCGCCTAGGCTTAGTAAAATCTGTTTTTCACGGTTATACCACTGAACCTAGGGATACCTTGAAGGAACGTGTACGTGCGCTTCCTTTGTAAAATAGAAATTAATGCGGACGAAGCCACGGGCAAAAGCTAGTCTCATAATGTTGTTGCCATTTAATTAGTTACAAGTAGAATCACTTGACAGTTTATTTTATTGCTATATTTCTCTTCGACCCAAATAATTGATATTGCTCTACTGAGTTAATTACGGAGTTAAATGAATGAGTGCCTGACCCTGTTTGTTCTGAGGTAAAATTAACTAATCAATATTCCAGATTTGGCGGGAATACGACACGGACGGCAGCGGCTATATTGAGGCCGACGAACTTAAGGTAAATTAATATTACTTATCGTAGGGGTCACTTAAATATTAGGGATTGATGGTGAAAAAAACGGGCATATAGCCAAGTTCTTGCAACTCACGAAGGCGAGTGAGCTTTACTTGTGTGTGTACGTGTACTACATGCACATAATGATACTTAGTGTAATGTTAAAAACTTTTGAAAAACGATCAGTAGCGAGCCACCACACGTGTAAAAAATATCACTCGCCTTCGTGAGTTGCAAGAACTATAATTAAACTACCTATCTAATAAATTGATATGACTTATAAGTAATTATAATTATTATCTACTATCATAGGTATCTGTGAAGTGTAGGTAATCTCCAGTTCGACGTAATTTTAATATCATAATCAGTATTAGTATGAATGAAATGAGCTCATTTACCTCAAAGTGATAGGTACTTATAATAATTAATCGTTATTGATTGAGTGATTGATTGATCGCAAACACTGATTGTATGCCTTAGTTTCTACTCGGAATAACATCGAATATTTTTAACAGATATTACAAATTACGATTGATTAAATATTACATAATTATACGAAGTACCTAGCACATTAACATACAAAATAAGAACTTTAAGGTTGTTGCCTACCAGTTCAAATTAACGTGGTTACCTGAGCACATGAAAATCTATGTAAATACCAATTTTCAAAACTTTCCAGTTAAAACTACCAAATGCCTGGACTTTATAGCGATTTAGGTTTATACCTACTCAACAGTTTTAACGAGAAAATTAATTCGATTTAATTTACTGCTTAATTTTTAAGTAAAATTCATTTATTTTACTTTATTACTTACCTAATGGTATGTTTTCCTAATTTTCACAGAATTTCCTCCGAGACCTGCTGAAAGAGGCGAAGAAAATCAACGACGTTTCAGAGGACAAGCTCATTGAGTACACTGACACAATGGTACCTGTCCCTTTGATTCATTTATTACATTTCCACTTTATTTATCTCATTATGTTAATGTAGTAATTATCTAAATGGAAAAACGAGAATCAAACGCTACCTTAGAATTGAGGACAAAAAACTTTATGTGCCTATCAGAAATACTCCATTTATTAGGTCTATTTCTCTTTGATCATCTGGATTTGATCACCCAGGTGATCAAAATGGGCTTCAGGTGACACTTTGGTGTCCTTTGATAACCCACGGATAAGATCACCTACTTAAGTGGACTTCTTCTCCATGGGTGATCAAAGGACGCCAAAATGTCGCCTGGAGTCCACTTTGATCACCTAGGTGATCAAATCCAGGTGGTCAAAGTGGAATAGACCAATTTATTAGAACTTTTTGTGGTGGTTAAGTAGGTAGTAGGTAGGTAAATATTAAAATTGATTTCATTAGATTTGGCACACAGCCGAAATGAGTGACCTAACTTTGACCTTGCTAGCATAGGCTCCTGATAAATTTATAGATAGTAACCTGACGTATAGCGCCATGTAAAGCAAAAGTTTATCTGACAAATAAGTTGTTCTAGAGTTTAAGGTCTAATCAAATATTTTTCTTCAACAGCTACAAGTTTTCGACTCTAATAAAGACGGTAGACTGCAACTATCTGAAATGGCCAAGTAAGTAACAAACTTTCAGATATAATTTTTGATACCTAAGTCTCGAAATGGGACGAAATCGACCCCGTTTTTTAACGCTGTGCGAAGCTCTTGCTTAAATAACTACCATATTACAGTTTTGCCTAATAATGCAAAATTCCTTTACATTGATTACTATGAGGCTCATGCGCGTGGATCCTTAAAGGCCTATTCAAACCTGAGCGATATTCGCTGTCGCTGTGGGTAGAGGTACATACCGCGCGGGTTTCGCTCAGGTATTTAGTATCAAGTATCGCAGCCAGAGCGACCTGAGCGATATTCGCTGCTGCTGTGGTTAGAGGTACATAGGTAGACGGTAGCGAATACCGCTTAGGTCTGAACAGTATTATTACCGCATACCCACAGGGTTTTCTCTGCCGCAGATGGTAGCGAATACCACTTAGGTCTGAATAGGCCTTCTGTGATTTTTGGCGTGGACGCACATGGTGACACATGAACCAATCACAGAGCTCTATTCAACGCTGTGCGTTCGATTTGCTGCTTCAGTTAAGCAAGCATCGTTTGTGAATACGGGCGTTAGTGGACCAACCCAAGGCTTAAATTACTCGGCTTTAAGTTGTGGAAGATATTGCAAAGGCAACTTATGAAATAAACATTTAGCATTATGACTAATAATTATTATTGTTTGCCCCATCATACTTCTATACAGAAATATCTAAAAGGAGGAAATCCCATGACCGTGTAATCCAACCCTAACGGATCATTCAACCCATGAAACTCTACCCTTTCTCGTCTAGCGGCTTCCGAGATAATTATTTTCATACAAACTTCCACCCGATATTGGATTCCTGGTTTTCACATACCGCAGTCGTAAATTAATTTCACCTGATGCTTGCCGGATGGATTTGAATTTTTGTTGTAAAAGCCAGTGAAATGATACAGTTATTATGTACTTAAATATCGTATTACATAACATTAATTCATTAATCACAGCATTCTATTTCAAAAAAATATGCCTTACAACAACTATGATATTTAAATTCTACTAGGGCCTAGAACCTACCTACTAACTTACTAGTAACTTACATTTTTCTATAATTACTTGTATCCTTACTTGTATCTGAACACACAATACGATGCGGCTGAATTAACTCTGCACATGAAAAATATTAGTCAATCAAACAAGGCCCATACGCCGTGGACATACGATCCACGTATTTCCAAAGCAATGTGCCGACTTATTTCAGCCGGGTAGTATCGTATACCATCACGTTGCAGATTGCTGCCAGTCAAAGAGAACTTCCTCTGCAGACAAGTGTTCAAGGTGAGTGACACTTCATTTCGCGCCATAAATCAGACGCCATCTTGCCAAGGATGTCCCGCGCGCGGGAATTTTAATGAAAGGCAGACATGATGGAATGAAAAATGGTTCATTTTCATCAAAGAATAATATAAATCACCAATAGCTATTAGCAAAGGATGTAAGTGAAATTTTGGTGATTTATTTTGATCATCGATCAACAAAAAGTGTTTGGGTAAATTGTTAAAGTGCAACGACAGTGTTGCGAGTATTACAAGTCGTTTCATTTTCCATAAACATTAGAAACATGGTTCCCACGTTGATAGTCAGTTGTCCCCATTGCTTTCATTAATGTTTTCAAAAATATTAGCGACTAGTCGAACAAAGTTATTTGTAAATACAACGCAATACCTACCGATAGCCTCATCGTCTAAATATATCAAAGCTATTCTTTTTGTTTATTAAAATTAAATAAAATGGAGATCTTTAGCAAGAAATCTAAATTATATGAAATACTTCTAGGTCTAAGATCTAAGTATAATACGAATACTTAAAAGCACACGAAATAGAGCTAACAATACAAATTATACTAAACAATGTAGGTAATATTAGTTATTTGTGTGCATTTTTTAAATTGCTCGCATTTTCACGCATTTTCACGCATTTTCCGCTGCACGTTTTTCTAGTTTTCATTTCCATTTTACAACATATCACGCACTATATTAATAAATAATTAAACCAAACGAAAAATAATAATACTTTTAAACAAATTGCTCTATCTATACTGTACAGATAATACAGGGTGAAATCAAGGTACCTTACTTGTCCTAAAAATAATACCGATAATACTGTTCTATTGAACCATTGCAATTGTGTATTATAGAGGGCATTACCCTACTAAATTAAAAAGGCATAACTCAAATAAATATTTAATACTTAGGTACCTACATTACCTATTTAAATAAATAAACTTATGTCTTGATTTCCCCCTGTATTCCTTTCTTATTTAGCATTAAACTAAAATTGGAAACGTAAGTTCTAAATCTAATAAATTATTTTAAAAAATACTGACAATATTATTTGTGTTATTTGTGTAACAAAATTATTATTTACTTACACGAATCCACATTACAACACAAATGTGTCATTTTTAAAAAATAGTAATACCATAACAAAAAATATTCGTGGCTTTTTCTTTTAAAAATGCCTACGACGTTCTTGACACATTCTATGTTTTGTAGTGTGGATCAAAATTAGCATGATGTCTGTCTGCTGCCTGTCCTTCTGTCTGTCCTAACACTAAGCTTGTCTTGCACTGCACACCTTAGGAGGGCATAGAGGTGAGTCCTCGAGGTCTGTTGCTATCGTGTCAACCAATACTATCCTTAACTTCACAAAGAACAAATTATACAAAAGCCTAATACGAATACCTACTATAGAAGTTGGGAATGCCCAATTCATACGATCTGTTATAAAACTGACTGGTTTACCAGAAATATAAAATTACAAGTACACAGGGTGTCAATAGTCAAGCTTTACGGACTGTGAAGATCAAAAGCCCGACCTATGACAATAAAAAATCTTGTCACTTAATATTTTAAAAAGTTCGTTAGAACTGGATTTTAACTAAAAAAATAAGATACTTTGACTTGATATAATCTGTTCATCTAAGAACAAATGTATGCCTTTGTATTTTATGATCTTTGTGGAATTGGGACGTAGAAAAATATTAGATACGATATCAATAGCTGAGACCTTATAATAGCATCGCCATTGGATAAACTAACGTTCCTAAAAGCTTAGACTGATTTGAGTGCAGCAATTGCACAAAAATGCATCTTTTGACGAACTTTATTCCAAATGTTTATAAAGTTCACTTTTAAATGTTTAACAGATAAGATTACCTTACTATACCTATACCTACTGTGCAGATTATTGTACATATTTCTTAAGAAAGTTTCAGAAAATTTAACGATTCAATTTTATCTTATGGCGATGGAATAGCAATAATTTGCAGCACATTGTTTCTATGCTTTTGTGAATTGTGATTTTTAAATGATGATTTACATAAACACAACTTTTAATAAAGATTATTTACATTAGGAGTGTAACATTTATGTGTATATAGTCACAAAACAATAGTTATAGCTGGGACTAGCAAAATAAAACTTTCTAGACTTGATATTTATTTGTGATGTGAAGTAGCCAACATTGCAAAATGTCAAATCGTAATCGTTTATGTGTGATAGTATAGTTTACTTTACTTACTTAGTTTATTTTTAAATACGGGTCCTTGCACCATGTTGGGCGCCACAATAATATGAAAAGGTCTTCTATTGGGTACTTAAAGTATTGACCACTTGCTGAGACATTCCTAAATTGAAAAACTAAATCTAAGTAAAATACAATTATTTTTCTATTTAATATTATTCAGTAAAATTTTGTTTGAACAAGTGGGCCTTATTATACCTCGTAGATGATTTAATTTTAACTAATATTACAAAAGCATTTTTCTTTTAACAGGGGGCAACTAAACTTACGAAAGATGACATAGAAAGGGTATTCTCACTTTATGACAGGGTAAGTTTAAATTTTTTTTTCATTTATTGTTTTAACCGCATATTCGTCAAATCTTCTTCCTTAATTTATTTGTTAACCACAACGGGAAAGCTCCAGTGGATATCTCACTCGGTAGAAAGTGATGATAAAATCGAAGTACGAGTAGTAGAAATACAACCCGATCGAGTTAGCTGCGCACCTGGTAGCCGTGACGTCACGTCGACGCATTGGCAGGCCTGGCTCACTTCGCGCGGTACATCCGATAATTACCTACAGCGAAGCGCCCCGCCGGCGGGTATTATATCAGTCGAGTGTCACGCGCGCGCCCGTCAGGACGCTGGCGTGCGTTGCAGTGGTACCTAATTCTATGATCGAAGTATTATTTAAAAATGGACATAAAGAGAGATAAATATTGTGCGGCGTTCGGGTGTTTAAATTCGAAAAGAAATCTACCGGATTTATCTTTTTTTTCGCTTCCCAAAGATGCTGAAAGGTATGTTTGCCATGTAGGTAATCAATAATTCTTAGGATAGTATAGGAACCTAACCTACCATGACTACTGCTCAGAATGCGTTCGTTCGTTTCAGCCGAATGACGTCCACTGCTGGACTAAGGCCTTTCCCAAGGTTTTCCATAATGAATGCGTACTTACCTACATACGTACGAGTACTTCATTACATATAAGTAGATTAATTATTTTTTTACTAGACAGCAACCCTAACAGCGTAAGAAGAGTTCAGAGGCACGCGATAGAAAGAGACAAAACTTGTAGGTGAATAAAATTGTAGGTACGTAGTGCTGTGCGAGCTGAATTCCACTTTATCGCGTCGTAGCAAGACTCGCATTTATTTAAATCGTCTTGCGGAGTAATCCTTCTGTACCTGTACTATTACTTATTCTGTGGCATTGGTACGGAACGGGGCGAACGCGGAGAGGTGTGCGGGTGAGTGCGATGGAGAGTCGCATTCAACGAGGTGCGCAGTTAGCCTGATAAGGTTGTAGAGTAGTGTAGTATGGTTTATTATGGATTGGAACTTAAAGGTTCTATATGTTTTATTTCTGTTGCTAAGTTATAAAATTTAATGAGATTAATTTTCAACAGGACAACAATGGATCCATAGAAAACGAAGAGCTGCGAGGATTCTTGAAAGATCTTTTAGAGTTAGTAAAAAAGGTAAAACTATAGTACTTACTTAATTATAACTTACGTAATCTATGTTAGCATAATCAGACTGCCTGTACTACATTTTTGTTTCAATTTAGACCACATTGACCTGTGTGTAAATTACTCAGTAATAAAAATAACAAGTGAGACGTCTGCGAAAATAGTTATTTATATAAGAGAGTAGGTTAAATATTTCTCTACTTAAAGGTTTATTCTATCAATTTCAGGATTACGACGCGCAAGATCTTCTAGAATTCGAAGAAACTATCCTCCAAGGGGTTGAATACAGTAGCGACGGCAAAATCAGCCGGAAGCAGCTCACCATGATCCTTCTAGCGCTCGCCAAGCACCATCAAGAAGAAGAGCCGACCGAAGAAGCTTCGTAAGCGTATCCGAACGCGTACATCAGTCCGTCCCGAATATCTGAACGAATTTCTAGTGTTGCGACATCTTAAAAAGAATTAGGATTTTTTGTTAACTTTGCATTTTTTCTCTGTGGTTTTGTTGGTGGAATTTTCCCGCGCAAACACTTTGTTACCTACCACTTTAAAAAAATTATACCTGCGGCTCCGCGGAGTTTTGTTTTAAAATACACCATTTTTTATTGTTATTCTTGCTACATAATCACGTAACATTTAACAAATTTTGCTATTTTGGAGTAAGTAATTAATTAGCTAAGCGGAGAAAAGTTTCAGAAAGCTTTTATATTGCGTAGAAATTATATCCGACATTCGCGGAGCCAAAACGCAGACAAATCAAGCAGTTCATTGGGTCAGCTTTTAGTAACACAGATTTCACGTAACGAATGGGGAAAAATACTCAAAAATACTAGAAAATACTAGAAAATACTCATTAGAAAAACTTTTATCAATTTTAAAGCCAAATCAAATGCCAAATATTTAAATTAGCTGCGCAATCACAAAGTTGCGAATATTTTCATAAGTCGTTTAAACGGAATGCTACCTAGATTTTAACGTACATTTTTGATATCACTACGATCCCACATATCACACCATTTCCCTGATACTTACACCAATTTTAAAACAATCTTCAATCTTTATTAATTACTATAATATTAAAAATTAAATTCAGACCGCTTTCGATCGCCACAGTGATACGACTTTCTAACAACATTCGTGTCACTTAAAACGACAGCAAATCAAATTAAACTATTATTGCACTAAAAATAAATCACTTTGCATGTCTTAAACTTTCTAAATAAATGTGGTGGAAAATGTGCTCAAATATCTCGAACTGTGGCGATATCCCTAATAAAAAAATTAAAAATTCACAAAAGAAAAATATATGACCATCATGTCATTTTGAATTAATTACCTACCTACTCTTTACACTTCCAAAAATCATCTTAACGATCAATAAAAACTTTAAAGTTCCTATAATTCTTAGATCAAAACTTCTCAGGACTTAGCGATAGGCTGTACTTTTGAATTACAACTACTCAAATAAAAAATAAGTGCAAACAATGTAATACCTGACGTTAATAATGAAAAACTGTTGATTGTAAATATAATTATGGTGTTTTAAAAAATGCATTTTATTCTGCACTGAAATTGAAAGATAATAAAAAATTTATTAGCTACTTAAAACCATTTTTGTGTAAAAAAAAGTGTATTTTACCCAGATAAACTTGTAATTTATTTTTCCCTGTCATGTCATTTGGAACGTAGATTTTATATCCTATAGATTCGGTGTAGCTTTAAAATCTTTAAATGTCTTTGCTTCAAAATGGTGTGGCTAGCTGGGTAGAGAAATGCACATAATTGTCTAAATAAATAGTTCCCTGATATTTTATGTACTATTATAACATTAAATTCAATTAACACAGCATTTGTATCATTATTTTTTAAAGAAAAAAGTTAAGATAAGCAAGTATTCCTCATTTATTGATGTCGTTATTTTCGTCTATAACTTTGTATAGCTTTGGTGTTATAAATTATTGTAATTATTTATTTACACGTAGATCACATGACTGTATTTTATTAAGAGTTATAACTTTATGAAGTTGCGAATACAATGAGGTAGATTGTAGCTACTGCATTTCGCAATCTGCAACTCTGTGGCGTTATAGCATCATTGTGTGTATATTCGTAAATATTTTTATATCGAGTGAATGTTAAATTAATTATTTAATTATTACCTATACGTTATACTTAGTCTGTTTAAAATCACATTTATTTTCGTCGACATAACGTCGCGTTTCTGCCATTTTATTTCCTTAAAAGTAAAGTAGGTACCTATTCTTTTTAATTAATTTAATTTTTATTAACCTAATAAGTTCTTAATTTTTTTGGTAATAATAAGTTTTTTAATTATCACACTTTTCAAGTTTATTCACCTTCCTTTTTGAATTTACTTATTTATTAGTGGTCTAAATCGGTGTTGTGATAAAATAATGTAGCTTTAACAAACTACCGAAATATGCACAAATTGTATTTATTCTTTCTAGTCAAGATGTAAGATATTTATGATGGAATGATAATAATTATGTTGAAATTATACGCCAAGTGTAACTTTGCATTTCTACGTCATCTTTAGTCTGTTATGTCATGAAAAAATTAATCCTTCATAACTTTCTGTCCACGTGATTTTTTAATTAAAACTGGATAATAAGTACATGAGTACTTATTGTGTTAGTTATTTGTCGTTATGAATGAAATTGATGGTTATGTAAGAGTACCTATAAAATATTTATGTCGCAAAAACGTTTACTTAGGCCTCTAAAATTATTTGTATTGAGCCCGGCACGTGTTAATGTTGGATAAGGTGTTTGTTATAAAATGTTTATATTTATATCTAAAGAGTTTTATTTAATCCGATTGTCCATTTAGGCCAAAGGACATCCGCTGCTGTACAAAAGTCTCAGATTTCCGCAATGACCAATCTTGCGCTGCTTACCTACTTGTGCCCATATTATGCCTTTGATTTCCAATAGATTGTAGTTTGTCGAACTCCCACGTGCTCCCACGCACTGAGGATCTCGTCTTTAATCTGTCTAGTATTACATAACTGAATCTGAAATTAAATAAGAAAGTATTAATTTCTTGTGTCCAATTAATTGCCCCGAAAAGGGGGTTTGTAATAAAGTTGTTGGGGCTTTTATTAATAATTACTTTACTTTCCTGAAAACCCATTTGAATTTAATTTCCGATTTAATTTTGTGCTCGCTTAAACGTCTCCCATTAAGTAAGACATTTTATTCATGATATAAAAACTCAGACCAATACAAACAGTTAGATTTTTGTAGGTATTGTGCGGGTGCGGGTATCGAACCCACAGCTTCGACGGGGTTCTGCTAAGTAGTCCGGTAGGAACGTGAACCACTTATGGCCAGACGACCGTGAAATTAGACGCTATACTATAACTTTATAACATTCGCTTTTATAGGTTTCACTTTAAAAGCGAATGTTATAATTTGCAAAACACCAGTAAACACTACTGACTACTACTACTACTGTACATCCCAAATCTGAGTGGTTCAATTTTAATAACAAAACTTGATTATGACTTCTCCATTGTTAAAAATCAAACTCGATGAATAAGTATTATTGAAGCCTTTAAAAATGCTTGTGAAACTTTTTTTTACTCATGGCAACACTAAAACACGAACGCCCGCCATTACCGGACGCCGTCGTGCTGCGGATAAAAATCCGAAATTATTGGAAAAAGTAACCACAAGGTTATAAATTAGATAATTTGATCATGGGTGTGACTGTGGAAACAATCAGCCCCGGAGATGGTAAGTTCCTTAATTAAAATGCCAATACCCTAATCACTTGTCAGCGGTGGTGGTGGAACATCCTGGGAATTTTCATGGAAAATTTCCATTCGTGCAATCGTTAATTGTATTGTAAACTCTGTGTAATATAAAAGGAACACATTACGATTGATTATTGTCAGTGAATAGTATTATTTTTTTCTTATCACAAAGTGTAATGACGCTACCGCTTCTGGCAATGACGCATAGAATCTCCCAGCAATCAATTATTGCATTTAAGCTAACCTATCTAGTCTTTGATAGTTAATATTCCTATTTCCACTTTTTTCCATTGCAATATTATTCCCTTTTATCACTGCTTCTAGGCTTTATTAATCTAAGCTAGTACCCTACAGCATACTGCTATCAGGCCCTCGCCTCAGCAAGAGAAACTTATCCAATTTCTTAGTTGAAAATCCTTTTTCCAATTTGACTCAATGGGATATTTATAAAAGTCCTATTGAGGTTCCAGTTACAAATTAATGGGCTTCAAAATCTGTAGATTACATACAATAATAAGCATTGAGCGAAATCCAAGAACATATTTTTTCCCATTTTATTGCAATCTGTCTTAGGGGGACATTTTAGTTTCATTTTTCAGTGACAATTGAAGTGCATGTCCTCATGAACATTAAAATAAATATTTAAATCACTTACTATCGATTTATTTTCTTATCTTCAGGGTCGACTTACCCCAAATCGGGGCAGACAGTGGTAGTCCACTACACAGGCACGCTGACTAACGGGCAGAAGTTCGACTCGTCCCGCGACCGCGGAAAGCCCTTCAAGTTCAAGATCGGCAGGAGCGAGGTCATCAGAGGCTGGGATGAGGGTGTGGCTAAGGTAACCTATGAATTCAATGTTTGAGATTGTATTCATAAACCCAGCGAACTGAAAAATTGGTAACATTTCATAGAAAGTTGTCCTAAATCAAACAATGAGAACCTATAATTTATTTTTGTTTGACGGTGGGAAATAGACAACTGTACATTTCTAATTCTAATTTCATTATTATAACACTGTTTGGGGGTAAACTATGTAAATGCTCATATGCTCTGCAGCCCATGCGAAAAAGCTAAGGCAATATAAAACATTAATGAAAATTTTCCCTTTTTTTTACAGATGTCCGTTGGTGAGCGTGCCAAGCTGACCTGCTCCCCCGACTACGCCTACGGCCAACAAGGCCACCCTGGCGTCATCCCGCCTAACTCCACTCTCATTTTCGACGTCGAACTCATCCGACTCGAATAAATTCTACCACCACACCCAAATCTTTATGGTTTTGTTAGACCAGTTAATATTCTCTGTATGACATTCATAAGACCTTTAAATGGGCATTGGGCGCTCTAGTGTCCTTATTACATCCAATTATTCTCAATAATCAACTGCATCATTTGCCCTTGATGAGTGGATTTAATATCTTTATGCGTAGAGTAGCATAGATTATTGATATCTCAAAATTTTCTCTATGTCACAATATATGTAATCGTTTAATAGTGTCATCTAGTCAAGACTTTCAATTTGAAGATTCTATTGGTTAAATTTAATTAGATTTACCAGTACGACTGTCTAACAAAACTTGTGAATCACACTTTCACTAAAGTTATACACATCACTTTGTCTCCAGCACATTCCAAAGGCATTTAGAGGGATTTTGGGAAAATATGCATTTAGCCCCAGTTTTTTCTAATATAACATTGTGAAGTTACTTGTCAAAACACAAATAATTCAATAACTGAGCCTATGTGAGAATTTTTTTATCAAAAACTGTGTGGCAATTTTCTGTAATTATTTGGAACCAGTGTTAATTGTCAAGACTGTAAATATCTATAATAAGCACAACACCCAGGATACCGATTTTGTTGTTTAAAGCTTTATTTGTAAAACTAAGATGAAATAAAGTAATTGTGAACAACTCAGCTTTTTCATTGACATCCTACCTAATAAACGAACTCTCTCACTTAGCAAAAACTTTGTAAACTTTAAAAAACCCAATTTTTTGATGGAAATATTTCGGACTTCCAGTTTCATTAGGTTGAATGTGTCACATTATTGCCTTGTGTTCACGACAAAAAACATTTTTACCTAACAGGGCTTACTCACTAAAAATTATCACCTGGCAGTGCCCTCAGTGACCAAAATATAATATGGTGTCATATCCAAATAGACTAGACCCCTAAGGATGGATAGACTATGGTGAGAATAAAAAGTTATTTTATGGAGACGTATTTTCAATAAGTTACCGGACAATATAAGAAATAAAGAATAATTAATTAATTTCCTTTATACTTGCGTATTTCATTTTCTTGTTGAGAAGGCATACTACTCCATTAACGAATTCCTCCCGGACAATTTAAATATGTGAAAATGTTTGCATATAAAATGTTCTACATACCTAATTAGTAATAATAAGCAACCATTTACATATAGCACGCCATCTGCTTGGCAAATTGTGGCTGAACAATTTTTAAGACCCATCAATGTTTATTTGATTTGATTGGGATAGACCCATACATGTAGTCCCATTGTACCTAATTGTAGTCCAATTGTACACCTAATTGTAGTCCAATTGTACACCTAAATGTAGTCCCATTGTACCCATAATATGAAGTCCCATTGTACCCATAATATTAAGTCCCATTGTACCTATAATATGAATTCCCATTGTACCCATAATATGAATTCCCATTGTACCCATAATAGAAGTCCCATTGTACCTATATGTATTCCCATAGTATGAAAGTTGCCTCGAGTATACGTCAATATAAATTAGTCAGGTACGTACATGTAATGTTCTGGTTGCAGTAGAAGACATAAAACCAAATAAAACTATATTGTATCTTTGAATATAATATTTTATTCTTCAATCACGGAAGTTTTTCTAAATGTATTTATTCTGAGTTTCATATCCCTTATAAATAATAACTCGAATACAAAAACTTGCAATATCTGTACTCTATACTTATGTAAACTTAAACTTATTAACTCTGCTTACAATAACTAGCCTCCTGGTTTCTGTGCTAGCCGTTCAACTAACTTGCCTCAGGCGTTGTCAACAAGCTCAGAAACCAGTGGAAAACTTAAATTTTGCACTGTCGGCACACTTTTTACAAAGCCTTAGTTTTTTTTTATTTATTTACAGTAACTACCACCTGTGCTACCACTTATAAAACGCACCAACTTAATTTGTGACAAACGAGTTGTAGACCAACAAAATTAATAGTCCCAAAATTTATGTTTGTAACCAAACTGTTATGAAAGAAAGAAAATATTTTTATTCAGTCCAAACATGTAAGAGAAGGATTAAAAAAAACTGTGATGTAACTTATAAAAACAAATAGCTTAACTTATTACTAGGTATGAGTGCTGCAGAACAATTAGTTGACACAATTTCAGGGCACTGTATTGCTATACAAACATTTATTTTACGTTTGTCCATTTAACGAAATCGCATGGTACTGTCATATTTTAAAAGTTAGGGTTACTGAATGGTATTATTTTAGTTACTGCATCAAAATGGGTTGTTACAAAACAAAACTCAATTATTCATTTAGCTTCCAAACAAGAATAAGCTTAAATCTAAAGTAGGCATTACAGTAAATAAATGTTAACAGTTAAACTGAGAACATAAGGAACTAAAAAAATCCTTTCTTTTTGATTCGGGCATACATAATCAAATCCAGTAATTAACTAAAAATAATATTACTTACTATGTAACTAGTCTGCTGCAATGAATATAAATAAAAATATAAATCTATGCATGATGAGTAACAATACTTAATGTAGGTTATTAAAAATACCTATCATCTGATACAAAATAGAATTGTGTGATATAAATACTAAATGCCGTAGGTTAGTCAGTATTCGCCAAGTCGTAAATGCCTAGTCCTACATTTAGCATGAAATAAAATTCTATAGATTATTATAAACAAAAAAGCAAACATGTATTGTTACTTTTTAAATTTAATTATCAGTGTCGAGAATTTGACGAAAAAGTTACTTAAAATGTCTTAAATAAATGTAACTTTTTCTATTACTAATGGATTAAATTTTTAAATTCCGAAGGCGTTGTGTCACTTCTTGATTATTGTTTACCACAACTCATTGTTGTCAAATCATAAAATGCACAATAGACGACCAATTTACTCAATGGACATAACGTTTGGTGGTAGGTCGATGGGGTTTGACGCAGACTGTCGCATTTCATCACGAATTAAAAAACGGTCCCGTTCGCCTACCGTTCTATTAGCATTTGGTCCCATTCGCAAAATGGTCACACTTTTTTAACCTACAAGTTGAACTTTGTTTCAAAAACGATAGGCTTTAACTTTATCTGAGTGTGGCCATTTTGCGAATGGGTCAATGTTTTGGAATCATTTGTGACGAAATGCGAATGGGACGGTCTGCGTCAAACCCGGCCGATGTACTTTTGACTCCAGATTTACAATTAGAAAGTCATGGTGTGCAAAGTGAAGACAATAACGTCCTATTTAATTTCACATTAAATTAGAAAAATATATGAATAGTTCATATTACAAACACCGTTCCAGTATTTGTATTAAATTTTCACTGCACTATTACTATTTAAGTATTAGGTAAAGGTTTTAGAGGACCTAAACTTAGTAAACCGTCGGCACCTAGGGCCTGCAAGCCACTAGTCATACCGTTCTGCATATGATGGACTGAAATCACTGGGATTCCGAAACAACCGTTCGCCTGTTCTCTATTAGCCAACGGAATAAAACTATAGATACCTAAAGCACTCAGCCGCTTCAAATTGTCTTCTTGAGACAAATCCACTACCGGCAATCCCAACTCCCTGTTGGGCCCTGTCACATTGTGAAAAACTCTCTTGTGATGCTGCAATTGTAAGGACTTCGGATATGAAGCTGGACATTCGTCACATTTAAACATAGGAACTTTGCTCTGCGGATGCGCTGCAGCCATGTGCACTTGTAACGAACTCTGATTCATGAACATTTTTTTACAATATTTACAAGAATTACCAACGCCCCCGCCAATCTTCGCTTCGGGAATTGAAAAGCTACTCGATTTCGACGTATGTTTGATACTGACGCCAGATCCGAGATTAGGAATGTGAGGGATAGGCCTTTCGGGAGTGGGCGACCGACTCTTTTGCTTCTGTTTTATGCTAATGCCCCGGGAAGCCAGCACGTTAGCCATGGCGTTCGCTTCCTTATTAACAGTCTTTTTAGTTATTGAGATTTGACTGCCGAGATTCAGTTTTTCTTTGGCACCTTGTACGCTGTGTATCAGAGGCAGGCCCTCCCGTTGCTTCTGCATCGCCATGACCTGGCAATCCTCGTTGTCGTGCTTGCCGGGGAGCAGCATGTCAGGCCGCCGCTTCTGTCCCGGCCCGCCCACCATACCTCCGGGTCTTTTCATCGGCATTCGCATTCCAGGTTTTTGACCCCGCACTTGTCCATGCACCTGAATCCCTGGCCTTATTGAAGGGCGCGTATTCCTGACGCCGGGCATTCTCGGTCTTTGACCAACGTTAGCGCCTGTCGCCATTCTTATTTGGCTCGGTGCGGGCATTTGACCACCCATCATCTGTCCCGGAGCTTGTGATCCCATCTCAGGCCCAGACGCTACTGTTTGTCCGGGCATCACCATTTGCCCAGGTTGGAAAGTCTGGACATTCTGTATTCTAACCCCGCTACTTGTGGGTGGCTTCATGGTACCTCCGGGGCTTGAAGCGGGGGTATATTGACTAGGTGCGGAACCAGGTGGTCCCATTTGTCCCATCGGTACCTGATTATTCATCATTGGTGCGTTTTGACCGTAAGCCTGCTGCATGCTTTGCAAGGGTGATGTAGTGGAGTACGGTGACGAAGCCGTCGAATAGGTGCTCTGCGGACTTGGATATGGACTGGTTTTAGACATTGGTGTTTGGAATTGCCCATATTGCTGTCCCATGTAGTGTTGACCAGGATACTGGCCTGGCATCGATTGTCCTGTAGTAGCTCCATACATATTGCCTGACGCTTGCGGGTATCCGGGATGCATATTCTGGCTTGGCGCATACGCATTGTATGGTTGAGGAGGCACCATTCCACCTCCTCCTGGATATGCTTGGATATTGATCATTACATTTTGCTGATGAGTGAATCCAGGTGCACCACCCCCAATAGTCGATAGTTTTCCAACTTGCTCAGCCAACTGTTTTACCGGTAATAAGCTTGAGAGAAGATTCGTGGGCTGACTAGAATATGGTAGCAGATTTGATGATGAAGGTAGTACTACACTCTTTGAATGGCCTGTCATACGACGATGTTCTTCTAACAGAGACAAATCAGTGAACCTCGTATTGCACACTTCACAGGTTTGCTGGGGCCCAAGCGTGTCTAAAGATATGTATTCACTCGCGTCTGACAGTGATAGATTTTCCTTTTTAGTAGACGTCGAGAGAAGACTCTCAAAAATATCATCGGCGCTTTTATCGAGCATATTAATTGGTGGTTTGGTGTCAGGTGCATTCCAATTGAAATTGTGTTGTTTTTCTGTGGACGGCGTAGAAGATGAGAGTCGCGAATTGAGTATGTTAGACGCACCATAATTAGGCTGGGACGTCGGAGTTGGTGCTGGATAGGATTGGGATGGATACGATACCTCTTCTATTTTCGGGACTATTGGTTTGATATCTGGAGCTGGTGTAGCTGACACAACACAGCAATCATCGTCCTCATCATTTGAATCACCATTGATTTCAATGATTGCATCTTCTTGTTTTGTTACTGGGAGAAGAGGCGTAGTTGTGGATGAAACTGGAACGACAGTTTGAGCGTCAGGATCTGATTTTATTCGGGCAATAATCGGTGTGGAAACTGTTTCTATAGGAGGTGAGGCTCGTTCAGTTTTGACTTGCCCCGAAAAGAGAGGAATAGTGGATGATGATTGTGGTTCTCCAGAATCCACTTCTTTTTTAACAACAATATTTTCCATAGCTGCAGTGGTCTCTCTCGACTGCCGTCGATCTATTGTTGGAGGCACAGCTATTGGCGTTGGTTTTGCTGGTACTGTTTCTTGGGTAATTTCTTTACTAGCAATTGGCAAGTTAGCTCCTCTCTTAGGCGTCTGCTTTACCGCCGGCCTGCCCACCGGTTTAGATTGCGGTAGTTCTTTTACAGTTTGTTTCACCAAATTTTTTAATGGTTCTTGTTTGACTACTGAAGCTGCGTTCTTAGCTTTCAAGTTCTTGAGAGCATTTGAAATCTTTTGGTTTATTGGCGACTTATCAGAGTCGTCGCTATCGGAATTCTTATTTCTATTATTTGAATTGTCTTCTTCAGCTGAATCGTGTTCAGCTCCAGATCCTTCTTGTTCTCCAGATTTTTCTAATTCTTCATCGTCCTCTTGATCTTCTTTACTCTCGTCATTATCTTCTTCGTCTGAAGCTTTAAAATCTCTAAGACCATTTATGACTTTAAAAGAATTCGAATTATTACCGTCAGATTTGAGTTTGAGTTTAATCCCGCCTAACTGGCCTAGCTTTTTCATAACATCGTTACTGGTATTCGCGGGTTCCGATTCTGGTTCTTTCTTTACTTGTACATTATTCTTTTTAATTGTGAATCCTAATCCGCTAAGTTTGTTTAATGCATTTGAATTTTTAGATTCAGTTTCGGCTGGTTTTTTGAGTGACAATCCGGTTTTCTTGAGTATTTGCGAGATGTCAATTTTTTGTGGCGTCGTTTTCGTGCCAGGCTTTGGCGGAACTGGGATGTCGTCCTCATCGGACCAGTTCTCATCTCCGGATGGAGGGTAGTCTTCGTCGTCCGACGGCAGTTTGTCTAGCACCACCGAGGGCAGCGACACGTGTTGTATAAGATGGTTCTCTAACTCCTCCCAGTCGGGGAAGTCTTCGTCACAAGTGTTGCACCTGTATTCCTGTTTCGGCTTCTTTATTAGAGCCCCTGAGGATTGCAGTCGTTTCAAGATATCGGCAACATTGTTGTTCTGCGGTTTGACACTGGGTTTTTTCTCCTGTTCTTCCGTTTCTTGCTCTTCGTCTAAGCCCTGCTCGTCGTCATCTTCTTGGTAATTGGACCCCACTGAACCAGCTTCGCCATCTGAAAACAAATACGTTTTGGCGTTGATTACTTGATTATAATGGTAGCCATGACATGTAATTATATTAATCACGTTGATGACACGGTGGAATTAGTTTCGTGGCATATTTTTAATAGGAACATCTAAACTAAACCAAAATAATTTTTACTACACCTAATTAACACAAATATTAAATTAAAAAAGCTAATGATGATGATAACAATTTAGGAATTTAGGTATTATAGGTTACATTATTTACCTATGGTGAAATCGGTAGTTATTTTCCATTATGTAATGATTTTCAACCGACTTCAAAAAAGGAGGAGGTTCTCAATTCGACCCGTATTTTTTTTTCTATGTTTGTTACGCGATAACTCCGCCAATTATGAACCGATTTGAACAAATCTTTTTTCGGCGTAGAGGTAATACCTCAAGGGTGGTCCCATTTAAATTTAATAATAGAAAAAACAACCCCCAAGGATGGAAAATTGGGGATAAACTTTTTTATACGCAATATCTCCGCCGATTATAAATCAATTTGAACGATTATTTTTTTGTTGAATAGGTATTATCAAAAGGGTGGTTTCATGCGAATTTGAAGAAAATATTTCACCCCCAAGGGTGGAAAATTGGGGGTGAACTTTTTTATACGCAATATTTTCAATTTTTTGTTTTTTTTGTGTTCACGCATTTGAAGTCGGTTTTATTTTTTTTAAAAGTTAATTCTAAACTGAACTTTTACAATGTTGAGGTCAAGGAGGCAACAGTGACTCGGTCGGCTACAGTGGCTCAGTCATGTTTCGACCTGAAGGCATAGGAATATATATTTGTCTCTTTTACCGATTCAAAGGTCTTGGTACCCGAACACGTTTAAACCAGTTTGCTCGCCGGTCAAGTGCCGTGCGGAAGGGTGAGGGAATGTTTTTTGTTTTCGCGCCCACTAAATTACATTCTAAGGTGAGTTTCGATTGTTTTCATATCTTTGTTTGTTGCTTTAGGTAATAGCCGTTATACAGTGTGAGTCACGTTAAAGTGTACATATGAAAATAGATGAAACTAGACCTATTTTTATCGACAAAAAAGAGGTCAAAAATTTTTTGAGATTTTTTTTTAATTTTTTATAGAATTTTTTATCTTCAAATTACTTATTGTAAAGAAAACGTAATAACTTTTAAACTAAGCGGTATATCCTAATAAAATAAAAACAGAAATAATGCTCAATAACAGGCGATACTAAAAAAATACATAAAATACACAAAAAAGGCCAACAAATAATAAAAAATGACACTTTTTGAAAAAAATCTGCTTTTAAATTCGTGTTTTTTTGGTTATTTGATAAATTTCTCCAAAAAATGCCCCTATAACTTTAAACCAGTTTGCTCGCCGGTCAAGTGCCGTGCGGAAGGGTGAGGGAATGTTTTTTGTTTTCGCGCCCACTAAATTACATTCTAAGGTGAGTTTCGATTGTTTTCATATCTTTGTTTGTTGCTATAGGTAATAGCCGTTATATTTATCGGATAGTAGGTCTTGTATCAATTGTCTTTAATCCGAATTTTGACTAATTTGTTTTACATCTTGGTTTTTTTGATCAAATATTTACAAAATGGCGTAGAAGTACACAGTGACTCAATTTTAATACTTTATACGAATTCAATATTTTTATAACTTAAATCGAATTTTGTTTTTTATTTACAGAATGCCACGGAAAAAAACCGACAGAAAAATAGGGAAGAAATAAATAACGAAGAGATTGAGATGACTTAAGATCTTATAGGTAGCAATAAAAGTACTAAGAGTCGTGTTGAATTGTTGATTATAATAAGAATAGCTTGTGCAGTTTTGTTATTATTTCTAATAAAAAACTACGCGGAATGGGCATTTTCTTTTCATATAAATACTGCCGTACCACGTTAATACTGTGTACCACGGTAGTGAGTCAGTGTGTACACCTAGTAGTCCACAGTGGCTCAATTATCATTTTTTTGTTTTAGGTTCCTACTTTGACATAAGTAGTAAATAATGTAGAATCATGAGTGCTCAGTTACAGTTCAATAGTGTATCTAAAATGTGAGCAAATTTTAGGCCAATATTAAAGCGATATCTATTTTTATTAAGCTTCGAAAAAAAAGTGAGTCACTGTTGCCTCCCTGACAATAATTTTAATTTACGATGAAAAAATAGAGTGATGAGTATTTCTAAGGATTTAATTAAAAAAAAATTACTTAACATCCTGTAACTGCTATAAATCCTTGAAATAAAATCTAAATAATATTGCTATGATGCTATCTTAAGTAGTAAGTAGTTAAAATAAGTGTTATATTTTTGCAAAAACATGTATTGCTTGATGTACTGGCGAAACTTATACATTAGTGTTAATAAAGCAAGCCAAGCTGAAAATGTATCTCATATAAAACGTAATATCACAATCAGACACCAGTAACAACTGTAACAGTATACATTTATTCATAGTTGATTTTTTTCCGCTTGCAATAGATAGTGTCTTTCAAAAGTTCCTTACGGCCGGTTCACACATGTCTCCGTTTTACTGTTCCGTTTTATCGTGTACGTTTTTTTCGTCGATGGCGTACCTATGTAGTTGTATGAGCGACTTCACACATGACACAGTATTCTGTATACAGTAATACATTACATCGACGAAAAAAAAACGTACACGATAAAACGGAACAGTAAAACGGAGACATATTGTGTGAATCGGCTGTTAGGTCGCTAAACCTTCCGATAATTTTCCAACGTGTTTTTGGGGTTTGACGCAGGCCGTCCCATTCGCATTTGTCCCATTCGTATTCAGTCCCATTCGCATTCCATCCCATTCGCATTGGGTCCCATTCGCATTTTGTCCTATTCGCAAAATGGTCACTCTTAGATTAACTCACCAATTAATGCGTACCATATAAGAAACAATAGTTCAACTTGTAGACTGAAAAAATGTGACCATTTTGCGAATGGAACCAAATGCGAATGGGGCGGAATGCGAATGAGACCGAATGCGAATGGGACCGTGTTTTAATTCGTGACGAAATGCGGATGGGACGGTCTGCGTCAAACCCGTTTTTTGTTTCAAAAACCAACTCGGTTTTGACGCAGGTCATATTCGCAAAATATCATCGCGAAGTAATGTTTAATCCTGTATATTTTCAGTAATTTTCTGTAAATGTGACTTTTTGAGAAAGTGACCAAATTCGCGATGTCATTTTTCTAAAATGACGTTCTGCGTCAAAACCCGCTCCTCCTCTCACTCCTCACCCCCTTAATGGGATCCATGAACTTTTTAAAACTTTTTATTTTATTATTTTATGCTGTCTACATAGACAAGTGACTTTATTTTAAAAGTGATAAAATGATGCTAGTACCTATTTAAACCCAAATCAAAAGTTACAAAAAACAATAAACAAAAAGATCTTTATTTTGAAAAAAAATTACAATTTATGCAGTGTGTCGCTACACTATGTTGCATTAATATAATACTACTGGTTACTGTATGTTAGTAATATTATTAGAATACTTTATTGTGAATTATGTCTTATGAGATCAATCAATTAATAACTACAATAGGTTTTTATAAGAAATATAAAAAGCACAAAATAAAATAAAACAAACCTGATTCATTGTTTGTAGGTGACGGTGGAAAGTCAGTTTCTGGCTTTGATGCCATGATAGAATACCTGTGAACAAGTTAAGAGATAAGACTCTCTTATTATGTCCAATATTCCTATAATTTAGTAATTACAAGCGTACATAATTTATAATTGGACATATGGAAAGTTCGCCAATCAATTTAAATGCAATTTAATGTAACAGCCAATTGTTTGTGAATCAAACTCATTCACAGATAATTACAGAGATTGATTTTACCCTGTATTTCTGAAACCGTACCAAACCGTTTATTGGAATTGAATTAAAATTATAATCTTAAGCATAGGTACTTAATTAACATTCAGAGAAGGTTCTAGGGAAGGGAATGTGGTTATTGTCCTACATTCTCTAAGAACTAAATGCTACGAGATGCGTCAATATTATGCACAACCCTGAAACGTAAATGTTTAACTAGGTACTCATCAAACAGATAAAAATAATACTAACTACTGTTATTATCAATTACTTATTGCTCATAAATGTACTGCAATTTATTGTACTATTATAAATGTATGTATTTTAGTAAATATATTGCATTATTTATCAACATTCAGGTGAGTGCGACCACACACTTGTAAGGAAATAGTAAAACTAAGTACAACACACAACAAAATATAAAGTGTAAAGGATAGTGCCAGGGTCTGGACCAAGTGTTGCCCCGAATCAACCCATAGTGCATTTTATTCCTCAGGCCTATACTAATGTGTAAACCGAAGCGCACTGAAATCTATCCCTGGAGTTAAGAGAAAAAAAGAGTTTTGTTTGGAATTATTTACGTACAAAATATCATCGATGTATACGTACTACGTATAAAATTTCGCGATTATGGCATAAAATAACACTCGCTATGTTGAACTTAACCATACTGCATCCGTACACGTTACTTTAGTGCGATTTAGACATTCTTTATAAACGATCTAGCGCTGTTTTAATTGTTTAGTAAGTTGACAGAAATTAATTATTTCCAAAATGAAGCAAGAAGTTTTAGTTCTCTATCCTTGCAAAAAATCTATTTATTGGTGTATTACAATCGATTATTGAAGTTATTAAGTAAGCTAAAACTTCTTGCCCCATTTTGGAAATAATTAATTTCTGTCAAGTAACCAAACTACTGCAACAGCGCTTGATCGGTTATAAAGAATGTCCAAGTCGTACTAAAGTAAGGTGTACGGATGCAGTATGGTTAAGTTCAGCATAGACAGTGTTATTTAATGCCACAATCGCGAAATCTTATGCGTAGTACGTTTACATCGATGATATTTTGTATGTAAATAATTCAAAACAAAACTCTTTTTTTCTCTTAACTCCAGGGATAGATTTCAGTGCGCTTCGGTTTACAAATTAGTATTGGCCTGAGGAAAAAAATGCACTATGGTTTCATTCTGGGCAGCACTTGGTCCAACTTCCATACATGGATTGGCACTGTCCTTTGTCTAATTAATAGTAGGTATAGGTTCGTATAGTTAAGTCATTGATTATTTTATGATAGGTAGTAAGATTTAAAAAAGTTGAAATTACTTAAAATTTATTATATTAGACAAACCATGCACACATAAAAAAGTGATGTGGGATACCTAACTGTTTTTATTTTTTAACAAAAAATAAATAACAGCTTGAAGTATAAGATAATTACTAAAATAAAAAAATATAGGTGAAATATATGTGAAGTCCTCTACTTTAGTTAGAGGAGTTAAAAAGTAGTTTAAAAGCTTCATGTTTATTATTGAAATTTGGTGTGAAATGCAAAGATGGATAAAATAGTACAAGTTTACTTCCTAAATTACAGTAAATCTAGTGTAAGACAGCTAATAATCCAAGCCGTACTTCGTTCGAATTTATGATAAAATGAAACAGAACTCAAAACATTTCGTTCCGGGACTGTACATAAACAAATCACTCACACAACAAACAACACATCATGCTGTGTATCAATCGGTAATTACATGTTCACAAAATATAGTGAAATACTCACTTTCATTGTTCAATTAATCGAAGAAAGTCACCATTACAGGCCTGTCCACATACAACAATTTTCTAAAAGTTCACTGAATGCTTGCTTTGCGTTTTCTACTGAAGCGAATTGATGCAATGCAAGCCACTCGAGTACTCGACGTAACTTCAATTCACACAATAAATCTGAGTCCACAAGGCTAACAACTGTATACCGACTCTTCCCGGCTTCAGTTTTGTCATAAAAACAACAATAGAACAAGAAAAATGCTAATTCTGTATTTTCCGCGCACTCCTGTCACTGATCTCTTGTATTGCACTTGGAATTCTTGGAAACGAAAATACAAAATGGCCGGCTAATAAATAAACGACTCACGTCAAAAAGACTGACTCAATTCTCAACCATAGTTTTATCCACCAATAGGCTTGTTGTGTACGTCAGTCAAAATTGTTGATATTCGATTACAACTGTAATCAATTTATGCAAATTACAATTGTAATAATTACTTTGAGAAACGTGTTGGATAAGTAAGTAACCGAACGACTTTCACAGTTTCACAGCTTCGCTTCGATCGAACGCGCAGCCAGACTACAGCAGACTAAGGCAAGGCAAGGTCGAGCGAGCGAGCGAACTTCTATTCCTTTCACAGGCACTGTACGTACGGCTGCCCTGCCAGTGCCAGTGTTGCGAAGTGCCAGTATTGGTTGGCTGGCAAACACCTAGCGGCAGATTGACGCTGGGCATGCTGTCGCAATCGCTCGCATGAGTGTTCGCTATATTTGTCTCATCTCGCGCTTTCCACAAGCGACTCTTTCTACATAAACATACTAGCGAGTGGCTAGATGTTAGTAGGTATATTTATGATCGGAACGGGTCGGCCGCTGGATTTAGTACCTGCCTACGTATTGGAATGACCTCGCTTACTCGGCTCGAGTTGAGCGTCGTGCACGCGATTCAAAGTGGAATAATAATAATAATGCCAGCTCACAAAGCGTATTGTGGTCGAGTCGTGTACAGCGAACGATATGTTGTTTCCTGGGTTATTAGCGTGATGACCTTGATTGGTTATGAGAATTACAAACGACTTTACGACGTTATCATTCATTCTGTGTTATTGACGTCGTTGCCGTTATATTAATAATCAATTACTTACTTAGGTAAGTACTTAAATAATTACTTACCTACTTGTTTAAGTAGTTAAGTACTTAAATACTTACTTAAGTAATTTAATATTGTATAGGTAGGTGTTTACTGCTTACTTATCAGTCTTATCTTATCACTGTCCCTAAATAATTTACTTTAGCAGTTTTAATGAGACGTCTATTTCGATGTTAATAAACGTCAGTCAGTCATTAAATAAATGAAATCATGGGTGTCGGTCTACCACTCCATTTTCTCTTGCCAGCGCGGCGCCGACCCATTTTTTCGTACAGCCATTCACCGACCCGCTTTTTCGTACAGCACAAACCCGCTTTCCCGTAGTTCCCGTACTGCACCGACCCGCTTTCTCGTACAACACCAACCCGATTTCCCGTAATATTTCGCACAATTTAGGTATATTTGAAAGAAAGAAAGAAAAATAATTTATTGGTTCAAATACGTGTAACTATTTATTTTTTATTATTTGCAATAATTTACAAATTAAAAGAACTTACTCTTTCGTTTGTTTTCTACTTCGCTCGAGCTCTAGTGTATTGGACTACGTGATCAACGATTTGCATGGGGTCATCGAAACTAAATTAAAAACGTAGGAGTACCTACAGTTACTGTACGAAGTTAGAATTTATCAATCCTAAGAGAGTAAGTGGGTAAACTAAAAATTAAATTGAGGACAAACAAATTCATGCCAAAAATTTAATTTAATAATGGACGTTTATCAGAAAATTTTACTTAGGTATCTACTAAAATAATAAATTACTTACGAGTACTTTGTTTTAGAAGAAATTATATTCAAATTCGTTCACATCCCGCTACAAGCCTACGAGTAAATGAGGGGTGGTTAGGGAATTACCAGTAAGTGGTGGCCACTGTGGGTGGGGGAAGGAGGTGGAAGCACCTACCTCCCAGTCCCAGGGTTACACTAGGCAGGGTGTGTCGGTACATACTTATCCCATAACACCCTAAGGCTCTGCTTTCTACGGCGAACTTTTTATTAGGTGGCTAGGTATTTTTGTGCAAAGATATTGGCTTTAATTCTCCATACATCTCCTGCTCTTGTACAACCCTATCAAGGTAACTACGCACCTGGCAGTTATGACGTCATATCGATGCTCTCTGGTACGAATTTGGCGAACGCGTGGAGATGAGCGGGTGAGTACGAGGTAGAGTCGCATTCCAGCGAGGTACGCAGATAACTCGATCGGATTGTAGGTAAGGAAGGAGCGACTTTGGTTAGTTTACGGATCTCCTAATTTTTTATTGAATCTTATAACACCGAGCATAGCAAGCAATCTGGAAATCATTGTGGGATAGGCCTATGTTCAGAATATGGAAGACCCACCATTACCATAGGTATACCCCACTATAATAATATCTTAACTTTTCTGGCTGAGTGCGATCAACATTATGCTCAAAATAACTAGATGTCTAACTTCTTTTTAACTCCTTTCCGAATGGCTATTTCATCAGCCACCCTAGGAAGAAGCGGTCTAAGAACAACCTGTGAGGACAACAATTTTTTTTTTTACTATAAGGCAGCCGCAGGAATAGCATAGGAAGCAAACAAGCTAGTACTACCAACATCTGCAATACCAGAAGACCTCCCAAGACTCCCAACTCCCGATAAGTTTACTTCTATTGTAAGAAATGATTTTCTAATGAGCCTCCTGGTCTCATTCATGTAAGTATTCATTGGTTGTAGGCTTTCTGTGGAAACACTGATATTTGCTGTAACCATCATTCCAAAAGGAGTTTAACAAAGAAGGCAACCGCGCCATAGATAGATGATAAGAGTTTCAGAAAGATGCCACACGGTGCGGTGCGGCGCCGCACCGCAAACATTTTGCCGCATCTCTGTACACATGGTGGTATGGGGCGCCGCAACGGCCACCGTCTCGCTCAATCGACCAGCGGTGCGGCGGCCCCGGAACGCACCGTCTGGCATATCATTGATTTTTATAAGCAGGACGCCGCAACGGCACCGCTCCAGCGCCGCGCCGCGACCGCACCGCACCGTGTGGCTTCTTCTCCCTCAATCGAAGTGCGGTGTGCCTGCGGTGTGGTGCCGGGCCCGGAACGCACTGTCTGGCATATCATTGATTTTTATATGCAGGACACCGCAGCGGCACCGCTCCGGAGCGGCGCCGCGACCGCACCGCTCCGTGTGACTTCTCCCTCAGAGTATACCTACTTAACTTTATTAATTATTTTTAGAAGTTTATATTAATACAGGGTGTTAGGTAAATGGGTATATGAGCCGACACTAGCCCATGTTAACATGGGCATATAAATGGTATGGTGAAGTCAGAAATTTGATATCATTATTTTATTTTTTTTAATTTTCATACAAAATAAATTTTATAAAATCCGATTTGTATGAAAATTAAAATAAATAAAATGAAGATATCAATTTTCTGACTTCACCATACTATTTATATGCCCATACTAGCATGGGCTAGTGTCGGCTCATATACCCATTTACCTAACACCCTGTAGAATAAAAACACTCAGAAGAATATACCTACTTCTCATTAATTTTATACACTTGGGTGCGTCCAGCCAGCGCTAAGTTTATTTTAAAATGTCTTTCAAATATCCATGCTTTCTCCCTACCTCTCACGGTTAAATCCGGCTTTTCCCTCGAGTCCCGGTGGTATTAAAATGTTTCAACAATAAGACGAGTAGGAGTAGGGTGCGTCCTCTCTCGCCTCGCCGAGTGGCAGAGAGGGTGAGTCGGGTCGGGGTCGGGGAGGGTACCGACTGCGCAATATCCCTCTCCGCTGTACCCCTTACCCCCTGTGGGTGAGGGGGCGGGTGGCCCGGCGAAACGACCGAGCTCTCGCCCGCAGCCGACCCATGGATGTTGTATTATGGTGATAAAATCGTACTCTGGTTTTTAACTGTTCGACTTGGAAGGTATTAGCCTACCTAGTCAACCCAAATACCTAAGTAATCTTATCACAAATACATGTTTATTTAATTACATTGTCATGTGTGGCGCAGCGTAGCATGACGTGGCGTGGCGTCGTGGCGCGAGCGTGGCCTAGCGTAGAGGCGTTGTTGAGTGAGCATGTTTCAAATTAACGCAGTAGGTCCTACCTAATTCAGCATCGAGAGAAGTACCTAGGTTATAATAATTAATGAGAATCATTTTTAGTGATTACGCTTCTTTTGAGCGTAACCAAGCCAAATAAAATGTAATCAGAACAACGAATGCCAAAACCATTTATTACAACCGGTTATCGTTATCTTCTTGAACGAAAATAAAGATAACGATCCCCTTTTGAGAAACACGCGCAACGAACAGAGCATGTTGAAAATGTTGATAATAATAATGTTGGCAATATTTAGCCAAACAGACCAGTAGCGCTTTTTTTTTCATCTAAGGCTGAGTGAGTTGCACCATCTTTAACTTTAACAAAGGTCAAAATCTGACAAACTTCATACAAAAAAAAAATCGGTTATAGTTACGGTAAAAGTATGTTGGTGCAACTCAGTCTTAGTGGACCAACGATCTGCTGAAGATCGCGGAAAGGCATGGAATGCTTGAATGCAGGCTGCAGGGCAGGAAATCTTTGTGAGAGGTGAGAGGCCTTTGTCCAGCAGAAGACGACATGTGACTGAAACGAACGAATTAGTTTCAATGTTACTAAGTAGGTAGCACAGTAAATAAATCATAAAATACTGTGTAGATAGGTAGGTACCTACTTATTTTACATCACGCCATCAGCCATAAAAAACCTAACACAAAAATTATTGATCGAAAAAAGTTAAGTTACAAAAAGGCCTCAAGGGCTTGAGATCACTCCACCTCTCTAATCTGTGCACTCCACAAGTCCGAAGGGTACCGGGCGGGGGGTGGTCTGATTTCCCGCCATGAGAGGGCAAGCAGTAATAATAATAATGATGTCAAACCATTACCACCTTTAAAACATTGAGTGTAAGGACTCATATCGCTTGCGAAATCTGCACGACACGGTTCGCTTGTGAATTGTGTACAGGCGGCAGCATGCATGTCAAGCTAACCACTGTAAGGGTCTTAACCAGTTGTAATACAGGCGAGTATGCAACAAAAATGTGTAAGTAGTCCAAGACACTAATCTGTGGTCTGTCTGTAAACCTAGGATCTATGCGCACCTCGAATAACTGTGGCGATAAGCTCTAATCGCGCCATTTTATCGATTTTACGCGATAAGCCTATACATTTGCATATAATTTGACGTCTAACTAAAATCATCGTAAAAATTTATCACGGCGCGCATCCTAGCCGTCCGATGTGCTGTCGCCTGTACTTACTTCTATTTATACCATAAAGTTACCATAAACTTTATGATTTATACCGAGTGCGCTGCGCTGTGCGAGTCTAGCGACATTTTTATTTTTATTACAGCACGCCACCACTTGGGCGCCCAGCCTTCACTTAAACATAGTAGGTATACCTATACCGGTTATTCACTCGACTCGGCGAATGAACAAAGCATGACTGTCTATTAGTCCAGTCATTATTGTAAGTTCACCTCGGAATTCGAGATACCCAGCTGTAAGTCTGTAAATACGTGTATATTGACACCCTAAAAGTTGTCTCAAAACCTACATGGTAGGGTGTAAGCAACTATTAAATTTCAAGGTCAACGGTCACAAAAATCGCTTTTTTTAGAAATATCTCATTTCCTATGGGTTTTTTGCTATTTGTATTTATTATCAATATTGTAGAATACTAAATTCTCTACAAATTTTGTTTGAAAAATTTTTTTATACGGTGAACCGTTTTCGAAATAGAGGGCGGAGAGCGCGCGGTCACTGCATCACTTCAGGTCAACTTAAGCGGTTTAGATTTTTCATACAAAAGGATTTTCCCGCTAATTCCCGTGGGAATTTCTGGAATTCCTTGTTGTTTACTTTTACTAAGGTACCTACATGCCAAATTTCAAGCGTCTAACTTCCGTTAAGCGTTTAGATTTTTCATACAAAAGGATTTTCCCGCTAATTCCTGTTCCCGTGGGAATTCCTAAGTATACTATAACCTGCCCAGGTGAATGAAGAATAATTGTACCAAGTTTTGTAAAAATCCGTCGAGTAGTTTTTGTTTCTATAAGGAACATACAGACGGACAGACAGACAGACAAAAATNTACCTACTAGCGGCCGCCCTCTATCTCGAAAACGGTTCAACGTATAAAAAAAATTTTTTGAACAAAATTTGTAGAGAATTTTGTATTCTACAATATTGATAATAAATACAAATAGCAAAAAACCCATAGGAAATGAGATATTTCCAAAAAAAGCGATTTTTGTGACCTTTGACCTTAAAATTTAATAGTTGCTTAAACACACCCTACCATATGTAGGTTTTGAGACAACTTTTAGGGTGTCAATATACAAGTATTTACAGACTTACAGCTGGGTATCTCGAATTCCGAGATTCTTACCTAATTTAAGCTTAAATGACTGGACTACATCTAGTGACTTGTTTCACTACCAGATATTTATTCTTAGTTTATAATGAAAGCAATAGATGGCAGGATTTACAATCATCGATAGAATAAAAGGAGGTGGATTTAATATTAAAAACATATTTGATTAATTTAATAAAGCTTACATCTTTTAAAATTTATTTATGTATTATTCATACATTACAAGTTTCAATTAATTAAATAAATACTCTATTTACAAATGACTTGAAAGAACACTGCTTTAAAATTTTAAAATAATTATTTACACTGTTATTAAAATAAACATTATTTTTAACAGCACAGTGTAAACAACTTCTACCTAAAAAATAAAAGGCATTCTTATTATCATTATGTAGTTCCAAATTATAAATAAAACAATTCTTTTAATTGAATATTTAAGAACATATTATTTAAAACTTAAAAAAAAAAACAACAGCCACTAGTGCAAAATGAATTCTTAATCGGTAAAATTCAAATTAATTCTCTTGCCAGGCTTCCTGACCACAAAATTAACGACGAGTAAAGAGCCAAAAGGAACCAGTAATTTAATTTATATCATCAGCTTCAGATTGTATACAAGTTATTTCCACTATACAAAGGTGATTTATGGTAATTTCGTCACTGTCTTCTGATGTTCCCGTTTTGTTTGATTCGTTTTTCTCACCATTAGCCGTATGGTTCTCTTGACCATCGTCAGAACTGGATGATTGCTTTTTCAATTTGTTTACGAGTTCTGTTACCTCTCTCTGTCCACGAGCCAATTGCTTTTCAGCATTATTTATTTCCCTGATTTCTTTTATTTCTTGTGCAGATTTTTTTCTTTTAACAGCTTCTATAATAGCATTACGATGTTGACTTTTCATTTGAGCTTTTATATGTTCCCGTTTCCTTCTGTTATATAGCCTACTTTTCTCTAGTCTTGCTTCTCTCTGTTCTGGTGTCTCCGCCGCCCTCCGAGCCCTGTTGGCATCTCTAGATTTCCTTAATTTCTCCTTTTTAACCTCAAGATCTTCATTTTTTCGCTTAATTTTCATTAACCTTGTATGTTTAGTTAATCTTGAGCATTCAAACTTCCGTTTCATAGTAGTACACTATGGTGTTTGTGCACTATGATAATGGCTAGGTATAGATACACTTTATTAAATGATACTTAATTTATCTAATGAGGGAAGTAAACAGACAACACAGCAATTCATTCGTTTTGTACTGTAGAAAATAAAACAAACAACGAAACAACAGCCCGAATTGCCGACTGAAACAAATGTCAAATTGACATTTGTTGTCAATGTCATTAAGGCTAGGATAGCGTTCCGATTTGATCCTAATTCAAATTTGTAAAAACTAAAATTTAATAATACTGAGCAGTTTATTAAAAATCAGTGTTCAAAAAGTTCAAATAAAGCTTTGAAATAATGAAATCATTATTTATAACGTACATTTGTACAGCTGCTTACTATAAATATTTTTCAAGGACTTTGCTTAGAATCATTAAAGCATTAAATTCGGAACATAAATGATGTCAAATTTTATATTTTTAAAGTACGGACAATAGCGGCAAAGGAGGTAAGAACCTTGCATATTTGTAGGTAATTCCTATATTTTGGTGGAATTGTCTTTCTACCCACACTTTTTAGAGTTGCAAATACGTGTCAAGATGTAATCTTTGATTCAGTGTTGGGAAGGAGCAGTTCAAGGCATCGCGACACGGTGGTAATTAATTTAAAATTAATGTGGTCAAAATAGAACAAAATGGATTGACTTGACTGAACGATTTAGTAGCCTACTCGACTAAATTTTTGGTGTTGCCACGTTTAGCTACTAAATTACTCGCCACTCGACTAAATTACTCGACTAAAAGGCTTGCTTCTTAATTATGGCACAAGCAAGCAGCAGACACTCCTCTAACTTTTTGCAAGTAGTGCTAGCCTGGGAGAACTTGGGAATGAAAAAGGGAAGGGAACCTATTTTATTCTTTTCTATCGACGCGACGCGACGACTGGTAAAAAACAAATCTCGCTGTTATATCGGGCTACTTTCAGCGGAAGACCACCAAGAAACATGGTCAACTCAGTCTCTACAACAAACCCACTTTGGTAGAGGCTGTAGCCTGTAGGACATATTATCCAGGGATGTTATGGATATCCGTAACCGTAACCGAAACTTTCGATATCCGAAACCGTAACAGTTTCAAATGTTTCGGATAGTTTCAGATGTAGGCAGTTTAAATTGTTTTTTGTATAGCATTAGGTATAATGTAAAGGCATAACAATCTGATTTACTTTTATAATGCCATCTAAACTCTGATTTTTAATTCGACGGAATTTTGACATTTCAGAAGTGTTGTCAACATTGAAACATTTCCACTAAGAATGGAGAGCATTTTCACAAATTAAAAAATAATCCTTTCTTGAATTTAAGGTTTCACTTGAAAAACTAAGGCTTAAAAATGTACTGATCATTTCAAAATGGTTATTTGAATTTTTATTATCATATTATGGAAGTTACAAAAAAAATTGGGAAATTATTTTTCTATTACTGGAATCCCTGCCCAATAATCCATGGGTTACAAACCTTTTTTATGAAAATCCTTTTGTTAATAAAATCTTAGCTTCATAAAATAATCAATTTAACAAGATGCCAATTTTATAATCCAAGTTGATTATGATGACGACAACGATGATTGATGATCAATACATATTTTCGTTTATGTTAATATGTTGTTTTACTGTGTTAAAAACACGTTTTTTTCTATTTAATCTCTAAAATGTACATAATAATTAGTGTACATTGAATTCACAATACAAACAATAGTTCATTCTTGTAAGTTGTACTTGATGAAATTTAATTTAATATTATTTATTAATAATTCAAAGCAAAAAAGGCTTATTACATCTGAATTGTCAAAAAATGACAGCTGTCAGAATTCCGTCGAATTAAAAATCGGACGTATCAATTTTTATTTTTTATTTACTTTTTATTCGATGTAAAATGTGCGGCTAAGAATTGCATTCTAAAGCACAAATATCTGTAACCGTAACCAAAACTTTCGGATATCCGAAATAAAAAAATATCCGTAACCGTAACCGAAACCGGTATAATCGGTATAATCGGTATAATATTATTCATATATCAGTAACCGTATCCATAACCGAAACAACATATCCATAACATCCCTAATAATATCATCATCATTTCAGTCACAGCACAGGACGTCTACCTTCCTCCCCCAACTCAGATCGCCCAGTTGGTATTGGCCTATATCCAGCGCCTTCAGTTCTTGCTACCTACCGCTTAGGACAACCATTCATTACTTAGGTACCCACATAATAGAGCATGTCGATATTCCCGAGTAAGACTATTAAAGTAACTTAATAACCCTTAATATGACAAAAAACTAAAAAAAATTAGGACCTTAAAGTTTAAAATAATATGGTTACTAAACTACCATTACCTGCATTGACTAAGTACATTGAAAGCTTGCGAATTTAAATAAATTAACACGATACTTACTCGATTAAAATAGCTCAACTTTTGTTAACCAGCCAAAATACTACTTAAATACCGTAACAAATATACAGGGTGTTAGGTAAATGGGTATATGAGCCGACACTAGCCCATGTTAACATGGGCATATAAATGGTATGGTGAAGTCAGAAAATTGATATCTTCATTTTATTAATTATTTTAATTTTCATACAAATCTCCCATTTACCTAACACCCTGTATATTAGATTGTGTATTATATCGTGTCTATAAACGTATTAAATAAAGTATAATCCATTTATTCATAAATTCTGGAAAAAGTCACATTTTGAGTTACAACACTATTGTACTAACAGTGCGAGTTTACCCAGGCAAGACCCTAACCTTGTCATCCCTTGTTGTCGACGTTTCGTTTCACACAGTGACACGGTACAGCATCCGATAAATGATTTATGGGTTTTTAATATACCTACCTACACACAGGTAATGAATGACTTGGCAACACTTTTTGATGTTATCGATCGATTTTTATCCGACGACCGAAGTTGCGACTTGCGACGAACCGATACAAATTAATTACCTAGAAAATTGTTTTGCATAAATAATGAGCGAGAACAATCCCGATTTTGATTTAAATGAGAAAATACATCAAGAAAAGCAGCTTATTGCTGAACAAAAATGGATACTCGACGCATTAAAGAAAATTAAAAATCAGCGCAATGCTCTCCAGGTTCGTAATTTTATTAGGAAAAAAATGTTTTAGGAGATTAGAGGAAAAGAACCTTTATTTTAAATATTTACTCTCTTGTTTTTAAAAGATTGTAAGTTTTCTTTGTTAGCGGAATAGTAAAATGTTTACGAGCAGCAGGCATCAAATTTTAATATCTTTATAGCTAGTTAAAACTATAAAAGTGTGCCTTATGTTCAGATTAAACGCATTTTCTTAATAACAATTTTTTTGGTGATGCGTCTGAAAATATAGTTAAAAATAATTTAATAAAATTTTCAATTTTCCATGACGCGTTCGTCGCAGTTAAAGTGCGCGGCCAGCCTAAAATGTCCGACCGGTAGACATAGGCGATTTTGTTAGTTAATCAAGCCTTCTAACATTAAATTTGAACTTTCTATGGTTCTGTTATGTTTGATTACATATTTTATTGCAAAAATACTTATAATTTGTTGATTTTGCATGCGATTCTGCGTGGCCAGGTGCGCTTATTTTTAGGGTGTGCGCAAGATCTGAGTCGTAGGCGTCGCTGCACAGTTGCTCGAAGCGTGCAACGACGCTCAATCGATAATTTAGGTACTCAAGCACAAATCAATTTAATAACAATATTTTAAACGCACGCAATTTTAACCTTGAGTAGATACGTGTGTAACTAAAGCTGCGGTTTCGTTTCTTGATACGGGATTTTCCGCGCTTCCGTATTTCCGGTTTCAAGTTTTCAACAGTGTCGCTCGAACAAGTAGATCGATTCTTAGATAATCTCAATGTAGACAAATGTGATTTGTACTTTTTTTGGTGAAAACCACGTTAGAAATAGTTGGTTTTGTCTATAACTGGACCTATCTCGAGCACTGTCAATGTTTAAATTTATTTATTTATTTAATTAGGACAACCAACAAGACCTGACAGACACAAATTCAAGCAAAGGGGTTTACATACATAATTACATACAAATTTAAAAATTTTAATGTGGAATCTTACATTATGATAGGGGAATTCAATTTTCATTACATCGACATTAAGATAAGATAAGAAAAACTTTATTTGACACAAAAAGAAAAAATAAAAAATAGAACAAAGGAACTTAAAACTATACACGCATATTTTTGTGTCAAAAAGGCGCTCGCTCAGCATTAATCGAGCCGCTGGTTTTCAGCGGGTGCCTCTCCAACCAACATTTAAATTAAAAAAAATAACATTATTCAAAACATTGACATTACATAAATAGCATCACATACCCAACGTATTCCGTACGAGTAACGTAGCTTTTTACCGCAAAACGGCTTAGGCTTATAAATCCGCAAGCAATCGCGGTTTGCGGTTTCTTATAGATTACCGCCCGTCATTTGGTTGTTGTAGTTCAACTGTAAGTTAAAGCTGCGCAAAAAAATAATTAGGTATGTCACATTAACATAAATTAACATAACACTTATTGTAGGGTATACACATCCTACATTATTACTTAACAACTAAGTATGAGACGCGCGCCGCGCGAGCGCTGCAGTTCTTACTTCAATTCCTAGTTGTATTTTTAAGACGACAAATACCTCAATGTTAGTGTCAGACTGGTCGACTCAAGATCTGAGAAATACTGGTTATACTGGTCCGAATTTGATTATTGTGGTGAAACCACAAAAGCACTTAGCTTAGCCAGAGGGGTTAAAACGTAAATCTTTTCTGTAAAAAAGAACAATGCCCACGATATATTTTATCTACCTAGCTTGAAACTTGAGTGAGAACTGAGAATGTTGTAACAATAAACTCTTGGTTCCAGATTGAGAGGATGCAGCTGGAAAACATGAAAAGGGAGTTCATTAAAGAAAATAGTCTCAACCAAAAGGGTCAACCACTGAAGAAGGCTTCAGACATACCCACTGGAGTCACTGGAGTCCCGCCTTCAGATCAAAAGCTGGTTTCCGAGATGGCCTCATTGGCCACCCCAGGGCCGTCTACTGCGGCTCCTGGTCCAAAATCTGGTCCATCCACCGCTGGTTCAGCCATAGACCAGTTTCTCGAGCTTGAGGCTACGTGCAACAACGAAGTCCTCAACTTGAAAGTGGCTAAGCCATTGCTCAGTAAGTTGCATTGATATCACTGGTCAACAGTGGTTTTGGTGCCAAGGAATTGTATATATTTTTTGATTGAGGACCTTATGCTGGTTGCATTAGTAGCAAATTTTTTGATTTCCTACGTGTGGTTTTCTAGATTTTGACGTGTATAGAAAAATACAAAATTTCACCAAAATCAGCGTTTATAATATTTTGAAATGCTTAAAAACTTTATTTTCCACGACTTTTGTGAATGAGGTGTAATGGAACTATCACGTTACATCCTCCAGCAGTAATCAGCCATCATATACCGATCCCATCTGCCTTGGTACCTCTCTTCCAATGGTTTTTAGGTCTTGATAGCATCGCTCTCGCTATTCTTAGCTATAGCATGCTATAGTGACCCAAAATTCTCTGGGAATTGGTCAAGATGACTGTGGAGGTAGTGCTCTTTGATAAAAATTATGACATCCTGAGTTTTTAAGGCATGTCTCACAATTTCAGAGTAGTTACTGGACTAGTGATTTCCGAAAAAAAAAAATGTAATTTCAATGAACAAAATCTATGCAAATCGTCCCAAATAGTCCATCGAACTTAAGAAATCAGTATCTTTTATTAATATTGTTATTTATGGACCATTAAAAATTACTTTTAATAAATTAATTTAAAAAAAAAATATGCTCAAAGTAGAATTTTTTTTTGTTCTTTTCTCACTTTCTCCACTCTGAACTTCATGTTACGGCTTCTTTGACCATTGTAATATTGCCTTAAGTGTTCACAGAAGATTATAAAAACAATTTTGGGTATCCACGGCTTGAATTCAACCACAATTTCCGACTTAAAGTAAGAAAAATAAGCACTTTTAATAAAATCTTGCCTGAATTTATGAACTTTTTAACTGTGTACACTCTACCAATGTAACAGAAATACATTTTGATTATTGAGACAACTTCTTGGCAATGTAGACATGATATTAAAATAAATGCATTTATAAAAATGTACCGAGAACACTACAATCTGTGCAACCAAAGTACCGATTAAAGCTAAATTTTAAAACTGAGGGTAGATCCAAAACTACACGTAGGAAAAAAAAAAGAAAAATATTTTTATTATTACTAATACACACCTAATAATAAACTATCAACAGAATCTCGGCACCTTTTTCATTTTGATTTTTTGTTGACCAGTGTATTTTTTCATGTTGGCAATTTTAAGGACCTTTTGGTTTTTGTCTATGGTTTGAACGTTAACACCTGTGGTTAACACAGTTCTTAGCACATGCGCGAGCGTTTTTCCTACATTTGCAGGAAAAACGCGAAAGTCGGACTTGGGTTCAGTCTATGGACATTAAATGGACAAACTTTATCCATAGATTGGGTGCAAATTTCGCATGTATCACGTCACCTGTATCGCTACAAACAAACGTGAGTCGAAAGCGCTCTTAAAAATCGCGGAGTGTATAGCATAGCCGCATAGGCTCCTTGGATAGACTCATAAGGTTGCACCATTCACTTGAATTGGATCATTATAAACTATCAGGCGACTGAATGCCGTTTTTCAACAGTTAGAACAGTTAGAACTCTTTAAGAGGAGTCAGCCTTTCGCTCCCGCTCCGCTCCGTCTCACAATACGACGCATGATAACGCCGCAGTTTAAATGTTGTAACTATGGATTTAAATATTCGATTCTTACAACATCTAAGCAACACTATAAAATGCATGAAAAAAACGAGCGGTCGAGGGGGTCGCAAAATATTTTTTCATACTAGGGAGTCCCGTCATGAAAAAGTTGAAAAACACTGCTTTAACACATATTGTCCACATTATATCAAAACACAGACGTATGTGTTGTCCGCATAGGCGTGACAATCGGCAAAAGTACGTGTAAGCCCGCACGGCCCGTGTTCGGCTAGGCGTTGTAGGCACTTGTAGGCGTTCTCAGATTCTCATACATTTTTTTTACGTTAACGATACGATTAACTTTTACGCAAGTTATTCGTGCTTAGTACGTACCTTACTTATTTATTTTCAGCAGTGATCGTTAACTCTCTTCGTCTCAGCCATGGCTCTCCTCGACCTGTTGCATGTTAATGTTACGATTCGATTAAAAAAAATATATGAAAAAGACATAAATAAGTAGGTGCTTGCTGGAGTTTTACAAATACATGGTTCTGAATCGTTTTGGAGGGGTATTTAAAACTAGTTTTCACTAAATCCTCACTCAATGTGAAAATTAGGGAAAACGCGTTGTTACGAAATGATTCAGTTAATATAACTAGTTTTACACTAATTTAAACTTAGAGTAGCAGTTAACTAGTTCTAGTTTTAACTATGGAAAACGGGTTTTAACTGTAACAGTTATATAAGTTTTTAAACCTTCGCGTTCCATTTCAATTAAAATAGTAAGACACGGGTCTTAACGCGACGTTTATTAATGAGTTACATTATGTACTACTTAACTCACGGCTTGACGTTTCGGTTGCGATGCTGCAGCCGTGGTCATAAGCAGACTGGCGGTTCGCGGCGTCCGTTCGAGGGGGCTTGAAGATTTTCAGCAGCATCGCAGCCGAAACGTCAAGCCGTGAGTACTTAATTTAACTCATGAAGATTTTCAGCAGCATCGCAGCCGAAACGTCAAGCGTGAGTACTTAATGTAACTCATTAATAAACATCGCGTTAAGACCCGTGTCTTACTATTTTAATTGTAACAGTTACCTATAATGGTTAAATATTGTTACAGGCTTCTCAAAGCGCAAGTTCTCTGAATCTGAAGAAGAGGAGGATGAAGACGATGAAATTAATGTTATAGATATGAACATGCTTATTAATATGAACTGCTCTCGTAAGGAGTAAATCTATACGTATTATATTATCTGTGTCTACACTGTACCTAAATAAGATACATAGCTGGGCACAAGACCGTTAGTAGGTAATTATACACACACCGGCAGATTTAGAGGAACGGAAAAAAAAGCATCAATATCATCATTATTTTAGGAAAAAAATGCCTAATTATGACATTATTTTTTAATTTAATTCTAAATATGAAAAAAATAATTGCCAACAGTATATTTTTTTAATTATTTTGTTTAAATTACCCCATCAACAGTTTCGTTGAGTGTTTTGAATTGAATGAAGCTTTTGCTAATTTGGATTTCTTTTACGTGAAAGATGTTTTTTTCTGAGAATTTTGTTGTGTAAGCATTCAGTTACTTATAAGGGTTTATTATGCCCAGCTTAGCACCGTCAGAAATCATTAAGGCAGATGAAATGAGAAGTAACGGCCATGCATACAAATCGGCTGCCGTAAGACGTCGTTGATCAGTATCGACCACCCATGGCAGTAACCAACGGTACAGATTGATCATTTCTGTCGTTAGGAGGAGGGTTCAAGTCAGAAAAAGGCGTACTTCGCGACGGGATGACCGTTTTTTACAACTTCGAGTTTTCAGAAAGTCGCGGTTACCTGCTGTTCAAGCCAGAAATAACCTTAAAGACACTCGAGGAGTAAGAGTGACTGAGCCCACAGTTCACAGGAGATTTACTGAAGTTGGTATAGGGTCGTGCATACCCGAGAAAGCTCCAACTTGTGACACAGCACCGAAAAAACATATTGAACTTTTCACGTGAATATCGTGATTGGGTCTTGAACGACTGGAGGCATGATCTCTTCACTTATGAGTGCAGAGTTCTCTTAAACCAGATCGATGGAAGATAGCGAATATGGAGACACAAAGAGAACGTAACATTTAGTCTTAATTTTGAAAATATCGTGGTTTATGGAGGTAGCTTAATTCTGGTGTGGGGAAGGATTTTTTTGGGAGCTCGCACGGAGTTAGTGGTGGGTGATGGAGGAAATACGACTTCTGAATGGTACACTAGGAACATTTTAGAAGAACATGATGTGCCATTTACTCCATTTATTGTGGACTCCTTTAGTTTAATTCACGATAATGTTCGTTTTCACAGTGCTCGCTCAGTACAGGCACATCTAAACCATTTGGATATACCCATGATGCAGTGGCTGGCAAGATCCCTAGACAAGAATCCTATAGAGCATGTCTTGGACTTTCTTAAAAGATGTGTTAAACTCAGAATACCACCGGTGGTGTTGAGAAACGCGTTACTAGAGGAATGGCAGACATTGCCCCAAAATACCCTTCATATCATTAACTGCAGCATGCTCAGATGAATGGAAACCATCATCAGAGCAAGAGGGGGAAATACCCATCATTAATTCATTCATTTGGATAGTGATAAGCTACCCTAATTTTTAATCTGGCCACAATTTCTAATTTTTGTTCAAAACTGAAAAATTGAAATTTCGTTTCGATGATTTTTTATTAAATAAAAACGACTAAATATTTAAAAAATATATGTTATTTTATTTTATTTTAATTATCTCTTTATTTTGTATAATAAATATTTCATAGATCAGTAGTAATTTTCCTTATTTTCATACTTTTTTTTGCGTTCCGCTAAATCTGCCGGTGTGTGTACTGAATTATTCAAATTCAAAATCATTATTGCTATTCCATACTTTTTTTTTGCGCTCATCTGCAATCAGTTCCAAACTACACTCAACATCAAATAAATCGCACCTTCCGCGACGCGAACTTTCAAGATTTTCTTCTGACACAATGATGTTGCCCCAACAATATTGGTGTTACTTGAAAGCCCAATAAATAAATTTAAAGAAAAACAAGGAGCCCCAGCAGGACACTTCTCATTCACCATTTGTCGCCGAGTAGGTATATCGTGGCGCTTCAGTCGTTTAGTGTAGCCTAGTATTATAATTATCTGTGGTGTAGCTGTTGCCAACGCGGTAGCCAACTGATTTGGGTGATTTTCCAGTCGCGTTTTATATTTATTCCCTGTTACCTTTAGCTCCTCCCTAACAGTTCTCATGCTCAGAGCTTCATGGATTTCTGTGTTGGTAATGACCCATGGTGCATTTGAGATGATTCTCAGGATGCCATTTTGCAGTCACACTTATCTATCGAAGTTAAAATTTCTAGTCACGGAATAACTTAACTTGAGTAATTTAAGCTGTTAACTCTTTAGTAAATATGACTCATTTTCATTAGATAAGTCCGATAACTCAACACCATGAAACGGAATCCCGGTACGTCTGATCAAAGACAAACTCTTGAAGCAACTGCTAAAAGGCTAAAAGAGTCGTACTTACAGTCATGCGTAAAGTTCTCTCGCAATCGGCGTTCGTCGTTCCCAGTTTCCCGCCCTCCGCCTATCCAATCGATTAGCGAAAATGATTCCCCAAATGCGGGCCCTATGGCATGCGTTACGAAATCTTCAATACCCTCTCCAGTATAGTCCCATGACACCTTGTTTTATATAAAAAAATATTCTCTTACTACAAGAGTTAAGAACCCGTTTCTATAATCATGTTACTACGAGTATTTCATAGGCACAACAGGTTGTCCCTGTGTTCCACTTTCGTCAATTTTTTTTCCACAGCCACAGTTTACCTATAATTTACCTTTTCCATCATCATCATCAACAACAGCCCTTTACAGTCCACCGCTGGACTATGAGTCTCCTCCACTGTAGTGGAGGGTTTTGCCATAATCCCCACGCTTGGCAGGCGGGTTGGAGATCGCAGTTTAAAATATTTGTTTTTCCTTTTTTAGTGACGATTTAATTTTTTGGCTAACGATGCCCAGCTATGTATTGAACAGTATTATAAGTAAGTAGTACTCGTACAACAGCTAGCTATGTAATGCATAATGTTCCATAGCTAAGCTATGAGGTGTGACCGGGGCATATTTATAAGCAGTCTCGTAGACGACATTGGCATATTAGGAAATTGTATTATGTCTATTTTGCATCAATGTGTATTCTTGACTAAGTATATTACTCCCTCGCGCCCCGCGTTCCCCATACAATGCTTGTAAACAAGCATTTAGATTTAAGAATACTTAAGTACGCTTACGACAACCGCCATGTTGCGGGTCCATTTTTTATTGCACAACGACATTATGTACCTACAAAGAGGAAGGCAATGATTTAATCGTTGTGCTATTTATTTACGACATACCGAAAATGTCAAAGAAATTATGATATTGCCAGTAAGATTACGTATTGTATGTGTTTCTCGTGTGTGTTGTTAAAAAAAAAAACTTCCGCCTGATACATTTTAAACAGATCTTTTTATATTTTTATGATTTCATATTTTTATACTCTACCATTTATAATTTATAACATTTACATTATTTATTTATGATGACTTTCATTAAAGGATCCAATCCAATACAGCGTGTTTTATTTACCTAGTACCGTAGACCTATTCTAAGTTTTATAGTTATCGTCGGTCAACAAATTATAAGTATTATGAACAGAACAAGCATCATATTATAAAAAAATCAAACAGTAAAAATAAGGCACGTATGACGTCACTTGTCTACGTTTCTTTTTAAATTCACCAGATATAAACTTGGATCAAAAAGTAAAAAAGAATGACAATGAACCAGAAAGGGTTTTTACCACATTGTTTAAAATTTATCGTAAAGGTTCGGTAGACCTAGCGCGCCATACTTTTATCGATTTTGCACGATAAGACCGCGCACGGCGCGCATCCCAGCGCGGGGTGGACCTTATTTCAACACTAGTAGAGATTTCTCACATTAGTATTGTACATTTCTCACTCAAAGAACTTTAAAAACAGTTAATTTGAGGTTGCATTCATCTAATGTTATTAGGCGGTTATCACACTGCGCCGCGCTCCGCCGCGGAGCGCGGGGCGACAGGTTTAATCATTGTATACAAGTACCTCAGTTTGTATAGAAAACACGCGCGGCACTTCACACTTACGACGCGTCCGCGCGCGTTTTTTTATATGAAAATCACGCGGCGCAGTGTGATAACCGCCTTAGACATTGTGTACAATCAGCGTCAAATAGTTCGTGATACCAAAAGTAGCCAATAAGTTCGCAACACGTCTTTGTTACAATAGAAATAAGGTTGTGTTATCAACATTTTGGCAACTTTGAATGTCACGAACTAATTGATGCTGACTGTACTACGGATGTAAATGACGTCATCAAGTTTGAAAGGTAAGTAAACTCCAAAAAATCGATTAGAAAATATTTTTAATAAAATCAATAGACCAAAAGATGGTGACTAACAATACAAATAATAATAAGATGGGATTAATTAGGATTTTTACATTTCTAATGTTAAATATTAAACATAATTAAAAACTTGAAGAAAATCAACTGCATCAGGTACATAAGACGTTGTTTTTCAAAGCAAATACGGGTGAATTTTTTGCTCTCAGTACATAAGAACAGTCCCCAGGCAAGTGAAAGGTCGCGGGTTTGAATCCCACTTGTGGCATTACATTTTTTCAAGTTTTGAATCATGTTAAAAGACTTGAATTGAATTAAATAGATAAATAAATAGTTTCGTAATCTTTATAAGACTTCCCATCCACGGTTCTGTTGGGCGAAATGTACTTTCTCATCTCATTGCTAGACCAAAATTTGAGGTTTTCCTGCCCCAATTCCAAAGTCTTGCTTGATTTTTGCAAACTCAGCAGATTCTCGTTGAGACGCTTCTTTATTTTGTCGATGATCGCCTCTTCTTTCGACTTTAGGCTTATGTCTGTAAAGGATAAAAATATTTATTAGATTTCTGACCTTTGTTGTAAAAAAGTGGTAACATTTCTTTGTCTATATTTATTAGAAAGTTATAGTTCGCGCAACGAAAGTTGAGGCCATCAACACAAGCAAACATTCGTTGAGCGACCTATATGCGTGTCGTGAGTGACTTAATGAAACTATCGGAGGGTGAACTAGCCAAGAAGGCTCCCATACTGCGAACGGCGTCGCACGGCGTAGCTTCAGCAATTATTGCCTAAGACTAATGAGTCCAACATCAGCGAGACTTCAGTAGCCTTATTCACGTAACAAAACTTCAAACTTCAACGACAACAAAACACTGAGTTGCGTTCCTATCGAGTAATCGTTCTATCAAAATGACCCTTGTGAATACGGATTCAGAACTGTTTTTCAATGGGACGACTTATGAACGTCAGCGAGATCTTGACTGTCAAAATACATGACTTAGGCCACAGATTTTCTTCAGATTTATATGCTCTGTCACGTCATAATTATGTCATTGCCACCCCTCCCGTGCCGCTCCCATACCTCAGGCACTGACCGAGTTATGCGCTAGAGCTATAGTTCTTCTTCTTCTTTTTTGATGATGTTGGCAATACACGTCGAGGTCGACTTGATTTGTGCCATTTTCAAGTGATACGAGTTACAAAATGAGATCAAGTAATGATATAATGAAGGATGATAGATGATACCCCTTCCCACCCTTTGAGTTTCAGTAAAGTTGTGGTGCTTTACTGAGACCTCCTATGGACAACTTGAGAGAACCAGAAGAATCACGATGCACTGTTCTGCTTCATTTGCCCACACTCATGCACGTTCACGAACACTCAATGGTTAATAATCCACCATTATTACACATTAATAGTAGCCCAAACACGAATTTGAGGAAATAAAACCAAACCGCTAACATGACGCTTCAGATTTCCGCCAAGAAGCGTGAGCTATAGTTTTTAGATTTTTTGATCATAGATCTTCTTATTTACCTCAAGACTTGGTTTTCAGCACTACGATTACGCCAATGTTACATGTCCTAGCTCATAGTTACTTACCTATATTGACGTTTCTGTTGTTCACTTCACTTTGAACAGCATCCAACATAGTCCTCAAAGTAGCTCCGTTTTGCACAATTCCTACTAACGCTTGTAGGTTGTAAGACAGACTGACTGAAGGACTGAGTAGGGCACAAGACACTTCACCGTTTTGACATCTGTTGTGGAATCTGTCAATTGCTGATTGGACTGATTCGAACACCCAGATTTTTTGGCCGCTGTAAATAAAAAATGGTGTAAATATTTTTCAATCTAGTTTTTTAAGTAGCCTACTTAAGAATATTTAAGTTTGGCTGAATTAAAACTAAAGTAATGAACTCAAATGACTGCTAAAATTAGTTTTTTTTACTCTATTTTGACTAACCTAACGTGAATGAAACTGATTCATGCAACATAAAAATATTTCAAATTACCTTTCTAATACCAGTTTCCTGTTGTTTTCCAGATTGAATTTCTTCAAATATATCTTTAATTCATCAACGAATTTTGGGCTAGTAATGTCTGAAAGGAAATATGAAAGTAATTTACAAGGTCGTTTAGCTATTGTGTAAACCAGTGGTTCTTAACCGGTGGTCCGCGGACCACTGGTGGTCCCTGGAGGCATTCCAAGTGGTCCACGAAGACATCGTAATAAACAAGTGGACGTGACGTGATGAGTCGAGTCAACACAACGCAAACGGCGCACAGTGGGCGAGAAATCAACTTCCCCTTTCATAGGATTTTGAAAAAAAAAGTGGACAGAAATTTGGTAAAATGGTCCCTCGTGACTTAAAGGTTAAGAACCACTGGTGTAAACAAATTATCCTTTGATTGGTTGAACCTTACAGACAAGATTCTAAATGAACTTAAGGTTCACCTATAATTTTCCTCCCACTTATGACCCACATAACCTACTCTATCCCCGCGGGGTAGGTAAGAAATTTCAATGCATTTTACCCGTTAAAAAATGATAAAAAATAAATAACTACGCTAAAACCAGTGTGTGAGCCCGCCTAGTAATGCTCCTACGGCGTGTGTTTTTGTACAGACAGACACGCGTGCGTATTCCCGCGCGAGTTTAGCGTAGGCTCTAAAGTAACCAGTGTATTATTAATTATGCCCGTTTTCACCATCAATCTCTAATTTTAAGTGACTTGAAAACAAAACTCCTGTTATATGTTACCATAGGGGTCACTTAACGCGCGTCGGATAACTTTTAACTGAAGAATAAGTTTGGCATATTGACAGTTTCAGTATGGAAAATATGTCAAAATGACAAGTTTATCCATCAGTTAAAAGTTATCTGACGATTGAAAAATCAGCCCTAACACTGTTAAAAAGCTTAATTGCGAGAAATAAATGAATAATTTGTCACCTATTGGGTCAGTAAGCGAGCAGTTGTCAGAAACATCCAAGTCCATGCTGAGATCGACCTTGTTCTTGCGTTTCTCTCTCCTCTCCTCGTAGAACTGGCGTAAGGTCGCTACTGATTCTTGGGGGAAGTCTAGGTGGGCTGTAACAACAGGACTTTAGTAAAAAAAGTAGATATAAAAAGACAAAGAAGAAAATATGTTTACGGGTACGTTAGATCCAGGGAAATTGAATCAGCAACGAAATTAATCGAAAGAAAATAAGAGTAGATACCAAAGGTGGTTTTATAAGCCTTTAATAATGACATTTCTGAGATCTGAAATTAATACTATCAATTATCTTATTGGTACTAATTAAATTAACAGTTACACTAAGATTTTAGACTTGGTAAACACGAAAATTCTTTACCCTAAAGTACAAATATGAAGTGAAAGCTCTCGTTTTAGAACAGTTGGCGCCACTGTAAAGCAGTGAACTTTCATAGGTCGCGCGACCTGTCATTGGCCTTTGATCGCGCCGGCGAAGCATAAAGTCCTGTCACTCACCAGTGGAAACGAATTTATTGTTGAACTAGCGGCCGCCCGCGACTTCGTACGCGTGGATCCCGTTTTACCCCCTTAGGGGTGGAGTTTCGTAAAATCCTTTCTTAGCGGATGCCTACGTCATAACATCTACCTGCAACCTGCATGCCAAATTTCAGCCCGATCCGTCCAGTGGTTTGGGCTGTGCGTTGGTTGATAGATCACTATGTCAGTCAGTCAGTCAGTCACCTTTGAGTTATACTATATCCCACCTTTGAACCGGTCATTGTCGTACAAGGACTGATCCTTGTGGAACCCATTGAATATCCCGATGAGACACTCCCTGACGTTGTGCATCTTCTTCTCTGTGGTAGCGAGGGCTGTTACCAGTTTTTTTACCTCTTCCTTTTTGCTTTCCTGTGAAAGAGAATATAAAATTACAACTGTTTGGAAAATGTTTACGACAGCTGCGAACTAAATGTTAGCATTTAAATTACGAGTAAAGCCTGGTCCGTGAGCACGTAGAATTTTGACAGCAACTTAATTACGCGCGAGCGATAAGGATGGGTAGCTTGGGGTCATTGGACCAAATTCTACGTGCTCACGGACCAGGCTTTAGTTGTTGTCAATCCATGATGCTCTATATGACGTAACTCAGCGGAATAGTCAATTTGTTATGTATTGAATTTGAAAACATCGATAGCTCTATAGGTCCTCCAAGACGTCATCACCCCCAGCGCTAAAAAGTCTAAAAACACAGCTGAGCGCGGTGACGTCAACATTAAGCGTGCGAGAAGACTTGGTAGAAGTTTGTCTATGCCCAGAATTTGTTACCAAAAGTTTATCTATTGGATACTCACGATAGCCTTGTCTGACCTCTATTACGTCATCGCCTCCCGCGTTAAACACGCCGCTGCGCGCTGTGACGTCATCCAGTAGCGTGCGCAACACGTTATTGCAACACTAGAAGTTTGTCTATGCCCTAAGCTTGACTACTTACAATAGCCTTATCTATGGCAGCGATCTGTCGGCCCGTGGCGCGTCTGCCCTCTATGACGTCATCTCGCCCCGCGTTAAATACGCCGCTGCGCGCTGTGACGTCATCAAGCGCGTAATAGCAGCACTATAAGCTTGTCTATGCCCTAAGCTTGACTACTTACTATAGCCTTGTCTATGGCAGCGATCTGTCGGCCCGTGGCGCGTCTGTCCTCTATGACGTCATTGCCCCCCGCGTTAAACACGCCGTTGCGCGCTGTGACGTCATCCAGTAGCGTGCGCAACACGTTATTGCAACACTAGAAGTTTGTCTATGCCCTAAGCTTGACTACTTACTATAGCCTTGTCTATGGCAGCGATCTGTCGGCCCGTGGCGCGTCTATCCTCTATGACGTCATCGCCCCCCGCGTTAAACACGCCGCTGCGCGCTGTGACGTCATCCAGTAGCGTGCGCAACATGTTATTGCAACACTAGAAGTTTGTCTATGCCCTAAGCTTAACTACTTACAATAGCCTTATCTATGGCAGCGATCTGACGGCTCGTGGCGCGTCTTTCCTCTATTACGTCATCGCCTCCCGCGTTAAACACGCCGCTGCGCGCGGTGACGTCATCAAGCGCGTTAAAGCAGCACAAGTTTGTCTAGCTAGAGTCCTGAATTTGAAAACTTACGATACATTGACTATGGTAGCGATCTGGCGGCCCGTCGAGCATCTGTCCTCTATGATGTCATCGCTGTGACGTCATCAATAATCGCACTTTCTCGCATCGAAGCACTAGAAGTTTGTCTATGCCCTAAGTTTGACTACTTACAATAGCCTTGTCTATGGCAGCGATCTGTCGGCCCGTGGCGCGTCTGTCCTCTATGACGTCATCGCCCCCCGCGTTAAACACGCCGCTGCGCGCTGTGACATCATCCAGTAGCGTGCGCAGCGTGTTATTGTAACACTAGAAGTTTGTCTATGCCCTAAGCTTGACTAAAGCCTGGTCCGTGAGCACGTAGAATTTTGTCCAATGACCCCAAGCTACCCATCCTTATCGCTCGCGCGTAATTATGTTGCTGTCGCGCTCGCACACTCACTGCGGGCGCCCGTCGCACAGTCGCGACAGCAATATAATTACGCGCGAGCGATAAGGATGGGTAGCTAGGGGTCATTGGACAAAATTCTACGTGCTCACGGACCAGGCTTTACTTACAATAGCCTTATCTATGGCAGCGATCTGTCGGCCCGTGGCGCGTCTGTCCTCTATGACGTCATCGCCCCCCGCGTTAAACACGCCGCTGCGCGCTGTGACGTCATCCAGTAGCGTGCGCAGCGTGTTAACCCGTGCAGTGCTGCGCGCTTTCTCGCATCGAAGCACTAGGAGCTCGCATGCTTCGCCGGAGAGGTAGTTCTGAGGAAGAATACGATGCTTTTAAAATGTCCTGTGATTGGTCGAAGTTTAACCAATCACAAACATGATAGAGATTGATTCGTTTCGACTTTAATAAGGACCTAATCACCATCTTATTAATAAAAAATAGTTACACCCTAGTTCAACGAGGGTGTAACTTTTTATTCATAAGTGATTAAGAGTAGATTATAATTGTAATCAGAACACAATAAAGCCATGTTAGACGGACGCGTGTTACGTGGCGTCACGCTATTTCCATACAAAATTAAATCTTTTTTGTTTTCAGTCCGATTTCATTACTTACACTAAATATTCTAGGATTAAGTTTTTATTTATGAATAGTTTACTCAAGTTTAATATTTTTCTCAATATTAGTTCAATATTAACTTACATTAAGTTCAGAGACAGCGGTGGCCAGTCGCTTGCGCGTCTGTTTTATGTGCGCGCGGTTCTTCAGCGCTTCAAGCGCTAGCATGCAGTGTAGCGCTGCCGTGTGCGATAGCACGGCCTGCGGACTCGCCCTGGGTAAGAAAGAAGCAATGTAGCGTTAATTTTGGAAGTTAATTATAGTCCGGATGTGCGCCATTTATAAATATCATTTTATTGGGACATTTTATCGACTATAGACGATAATCCCATAGTCGTCTAAAAAAGGCGATAAGGTTACATCGCGGCGTGATTACTGCGCAACAGGGGACAATATTTTGAGATGGAAGAAGCTAACATTTTGTATTCTTAAGAGTTATAAAAATTCAAGCTATTAAATACGAGTACTGAGTAAAAGAATGAACATCGCAAAAACTAGTTTTCCCCACTTCTCTTAATTTTTGTAGTTATTTGTGGTTAATACAGCTATACATGCTATAAACAGCATGCCGTGGCAGCCTGTAATTAAGATAGCACCTAGTCCTAAGACAAAATTATGTATGTAAACCCCTTTGCTTGATTTTGTGTCTGTCTTGTTGGTTGTCCTAATTAAATAAATAAAAACTATAGTTAAGGATTCACATAACAGGACAGGCGAACAGGAGAGGCTGGATATTGGTATTGGTTCCTTGGCTCTATTGGGTACCGGGGGCTTAGTGTGAATTTACATCAAACATATTCGATTCTTAACGAGTGCGTCATAAATTCTATGAAGATTTTAGTTCTTGAAAGTATCCGCTAGGGACGCTGTACAATCCGTCATACATGTCACTTTTTTACGCAGTCGATATCGGATGCGTTTAAAGTAAACTCACATTACGCCCCTAGATCATTATTGACCCTATTAAGCAATTAAAGAAGTTGAATTTGAACCCTTACGTAGCAACAGTTTTGTCAGCGGTGTCTTTAGCCAATTCTCCCGCGAGCCCCGCGCGCCGCTCGGCAAGTCGCGTCCACAGCGCGTCGCCGCGGCACTTGGGCAGCCAGGATAGCTGCTCCTCTGGTAATAATAATATCTATACTTATAATAAATCTGTAGAGAGGTCAATTCTGTATATGAAATATATTTTATGTAATATATTCTCGCCTCTTTGCCTCACGGACACACTTTTATTTTTGAGTAAAATAAGTTTATATTTTTATTTTGTTTAGAGTTAAGTTTGCCTTAGTTTAAAAAAAAAATCTGTTTATCTATATATATAAAAGAAAGTCGTGTTAGTTACTTCGCTTATAACTCAAGAACGGCTGAACCGATTTAGCTGAAAATTGTCAGGGAGGTAGTTTAGAGCCAGGAGAAGGACATAGGATACTTTTTATCCTGTTCGAAATTAAAAAAAAGTCTGCTTATTTATTGCCATTAAGGCGGAACAAAGTTCGCCGGGTCAGCTAGTTGTAAATAAAGTTGTTTCCAATATCCGAGAAAAAAAATATATTTCAAAATAACTATCAGGGGGTGATTAGTGATCGATACTGATGCCAAAAATGCAATCAGTAAAATTGTTGTCTGTTTGTCTGTCTGTTGTATGTTCCTTATAGAAACAAAAACTACGCGACGGATTTTAACGAAACTTGGTATAATTATTCTTCGTACTCCTGGGCAGGTTATAGTATACTTAGGAATTCCCACGGGAACTGGAATTAGCGGGAAAATCCTTTTGTATGAAAAATCTAAACCGCTTAAGTTAGACGCTTGAAATTTGGCATGCAGGTACCTTAGTAAACTTAAAGCTTAGTTACAACAGGATATTGCAAAATTCATTGAAAAGACATTTGTATGAAAAAATCTAAACCGCGTAGAATAGATGGGTAAAACGGGATCCACGCGTACGAGGTCGCAGGCGGCCGCTAGTTTTATTATAAAAATAAAAAGTATTTTAGTATTTACTGTTGTTTATTTTCTGCAGATGTTTGCAAATCGGCAAAGGCTTTCTCAAACCTTATCCATTCATTCTGATCTTTCCTGAGCCAGATTCCAGATTACTCCTGCCACTTCTTTGATATCATCGTCCCACCTTTTCCTATACGCACGAGCGATAAGGATGGGTAGCTTGGGGTCATTGTACGAAATTGTATATGCTCGGCGACCGGACTTTAGCAGTGTATTGTGATGCAACTTACCAGAGTCGTTGGCGTCGCTGACGGACACGAGCGAGGAGCTGGCGACGGGGTATACTATATTATGTACTTGTCGAGGCCTCCGCTGCTTTATCAGCCTTACTTAAGTTATGCTCTCGCTCCAAGCCACGCCCTTTATTCATTCATTAAGTATTTAAGTATCTTCAATGTTTGACATATGACTTAACCGAGGAGCTACTTGTAGTACCTATGTAATCTAAGTTTTAACCTAAGTATTCTTAAAAATTTTATATAATATAGCAAATTGTTAATTTATTTAATTATTACTTAATTACTATTTTACGTGTGAGCTTTTTTTCGCCTGAAACACAGGTTTTTAACCTAGCTCAGGCTACAAAAGACTATTGAACTATATGTAAACTCTAGCATAATAAGTTCTTATAATGTTATTATTTTAATGAATAAATTATTATTATTAATTATTAATTAATTAATTATTATTAATTCATGTTTTGGGATCAAGCGGCGCAATAAAGAAGCGGCGACTAGAGCATTTAAAAGTTTATGCTTATTGCTCTATGTATAATTTCTTTCTTTCTATTACGTACAGAAAGTTTTCTTTGCAAAGGTATGTAAAAAAAAGTAAAGTCCGGTCGCCGAGCACGTAGAATTTCTTCCAGTGATCCCAAGCTACCCATCCTTATCGCTCACGCGTCATTATATTGCTGTCACGCTCGCACACACACTGCGGCCGCCCGTTGCACAGTCGCGACAGCAATATAATTACGCGTGAGCGATAAGGATGAGTAGATTGGGGTCATTGGACTAAATTCTACGTGTTCGGCGACCGGACTTTACTCAATGTCATCAACAATATGGTGTAATTTAGCTTGTTTCAGAGTCGAGCATCATTGAAGTATTGAAGCAGCTCACCCGAGTCGTTGGCGTCGCTGACAGACACGAGCGAGGAGCTGGCGACGGGGTTCGCGAGAACCGCCGCGGAGGGAGCACCCCCGCGACGATTACACTATATTATGTACTTGTCGAGGCCTCCGCTGCTTTATCACCCTTACTTAAGTCATGCTCTCGCTCCAAGCCACGCCCTTTATTCATTCATGCTTTGGGATCAAGCGGCGCAATAAAGAAGCGGCGACTAGAGCATTTAAAAGTTTATGCTTATTGCTCTATGTATAATTTCTTTCTTTCTATTACGTACAGAAAGTTTTCTTTGCAAAGGTATGTAAAAAAAGTCTAAAGTCCGGTCGCCGAGCACGTAGAATTTCTTCCAATGATCCCAAGCTACCCATCCTTATCGCTCACGCGTCATTATATTGCTGTCGCGCTCGCACACACACTGCGGCCGCCCGTTGCACAGTCGCGACAGCAATATAATTACGCGCGAGCGATAAGGATGAGTAGTTTGGGGTCATTGGACTAAATGCTACGTGTTCGGCGACCGGACTTTACTCAATGTCATCAACAATATGGTGTAATTTAGCATGTTTCAGAGTCGAGCATCATTGAAGTATTGAAGCAGCTCACCCGAGTCGTTGGCGTCGCTGACAGACACGAGCGAGGAGCTGGCGACGGGGTTCGCGAGAACCGCCGCGGAGGGAGCACCCCCGCGACGATTAGACGATATGTACTTGTCCAGCTTGCTCTAAAATCAAATATCACATCAGTAAGAGGCTAAGAGTGTGTAGATACTTTTTGTTGCCGACATGCATGGGTCCATCACAGGAAACAAGAGTCGCCGTGTCTTGCAGTGGCCATCGATCGAACACTTTGTTCCGATTCTGAACACTTTGGAGATGAGTATAATGTCAAGTGAACACATTAAGTGTCTGCAATTCTACATCTGCGCATCTGCTGATTATAAAAATAAAATATTTACTGGTAGCTTGTATGTGACAAGACAATTGTGCAGCCTTTATGAGTTGCTACACATATTCACATAATATGTGAGCCGGCAATAATTGACACTGACGAGCTTTAAAGTGTCGCGTATTGTCTCATTATTTTTATCCTACTTCAAAATGACAGTCACCATCAGTTTAAGTACCTTCTTCTCTTTGCTCTGTCTAGTTAAGCTAAGCCTTATTACCTAAAAGAAACACTGAAAACAACTTACTTGCACATCAACATCCTCATCAATAGTGCACAGTGAGTTGGCGATGGCTTTGGTTTCCTCAAGGTTCTCCTTCTTGGTCTTCAAGTCATCTGCAACTTGTTGCAGCAGCCACGCGCGGCGTTGCAGCTGCTGCACGCGCGTTTGGGACAAGTTGCGGTGCGACACTGCAACATTTTAACGATCTTAATTAATTAATAACATTGGCGGAATAGTGTTCCCTCAGTGGCGAAAAAACGTAAGTTCATCGCCATATACCAAAGAAGAAGAACGATCTTAATACCTCGCCATTTTACAATCTTAAGAGCGCTTTCACATTAAGGCGTTAGAAGCGCCGCGCAGCTTTTTTATAATGTGATTGTGAAGGCATGCTTGCCTTCCACTGCCACTGCCACTGTCACATAGTATGAAATTTTCGGCAGCGCGTTTGTAGCGCTGTTAAATCGCCTAAATGTAAAAACGCTTTAAGACTTAGGCCCAGTTTCCATCAAGGCGGAGCAAAGCGGAGAAGTGTTTTGAGTAACCAATCAGACTTCATTATTTTCATTTCTCGGCGCCGCCGCTGAATTCTATAGAAAAATATGACGGCCCAAACACTTCTTCGCTCTGCTCCGCCTTGGTGGAAGCCGGGCCTAAGTTCTAAAAAACCTCCGTCTTCTTCACAGCATAAAAAAATGTAAGGACTGGTGGTTTACATGCACCACTGGTTCTGTCTTGTTTTATGCATTATCCAACCAAATCAGTAATCTAAAAACTCTAAAAGTGGCCTATGTTTAGCACTGTCCTGTGGCTTCACAACCTGTTTTAATCAGTAAAGAGTTTTCCCTAGACATTAATATTGCCATGCTAGCGATATCAGCAGTACCTCCAACTTTTTGCTATTAAAATGCCTGTCAAAAGCCATTGGAGTTACTGAAATCATTAGCTCAGCAGAATAAATAGAGCTATAACAAATTCATACGCTTGTTGGTTATTTTGTCTGTCAGTTGGTTGAGGGTCTCCCTAGCCTTAGCCACTCTTTCCTCTGCATCCGCTACTTTTTCCTTAATCTCATTGTGTTGATGCCAAAGCGTCAGCTCTTCAGGCATTGCTGCATTTGATTCCGGCTGAAATTATAAAAGAATTTATGAATATTTTTATTTATTTAATTAATCATTAAGCTGCTTTATGGTGGCAAGTAAATAGCATTGTGGTTTACATAGATAGGTTACACTCTATCTTTACTCAGGTTTTGAAAATTCTATGTAATCACATTGTGTCTTTGGAAGGATATGATTAAAATAAGTTATTTCCTTTTATCAACTTGTTTGCAAAACATTTTCAGTGATATTACAGTTTTTCATTATAACAATATTGTAATAATATCTTACATAAATACAATTCAGAGACAGGAACCATAGCTCTGCTTAGATAGGTAGATAAGTAATGCCCATATTCACAAATATTACTATGAGGTCTCACAGTGCGCGTGGACGCACAGGGTGACACATGAACCAATCACAGACCTTTATTCATCGCTGTGTGTTAGATTTGCTGCTTCACTTAAACAAGCATAATTTAGGGGTAAGTTTAGACTGTATCCATCCACACATAGCCAATCACAAGTAGTACTATTTCTCTTATAATTAATCTTTATTTAAGTATTTGCTAAAATATCAAACTAAATACTTATATGTTTTTCTGTTTAGCTGATCATAGGTACTTACTTATGAATAATATGGAAATTGCCATGCAAATTTATCAAGCATTTAAGCAATTTAGAATCCAGAAAAAGGTCTCACCTTTTTCTGAAATGGTGAGCAAACCTTATTGAAGGCATTCTTTCTCTTGTACTTGTAGATGTCGTCGCAGAATACTCGGAGCCTCTTCTGTCGGATTGTGTCTTTCGACTCAACGTGCTCCATCAAACTGCGCCATACCATGTAGTACTGACCGCGACACATCCTGCAAAATTTGTATTTGAATATTGATAACTTAAAATCAATGATTTCCACAAGACTACGCAGAAAGTATTAAACACCGCATGATTTTAGGGTTCTAAATACATTATTGAAATAGATTTCAAACCGTTTTTACGGCAATAAATGGAATAAATCAGGTTTTTTGTGATACGTACTCTACAACTTTGTCAACAGTGGGAACTTTCTCAGGAGGACATCCCATTGATAAGAGCCACTCCGCAAACTTTGCAGGCACTTCATCGCTACTTAATTTGTGATCACACATCTTATTGCTGTTAGTTAAGCCCAAATTTTAATTTAATTGCGATTTTTACGCACAACAAAAAGCGTTTGAGAATTTCAAATTTGACTGAATTTGACAACAGGCCAAGAGGCAGCTTGATGACAGTGACAGCAGACAGTATTGTTTATGGTGCTAGTACACTATGTCGGAAATTATTGTCCCTCGAAGCGCTTAGCACACACCGAAGTATGGGAGACGCACGCGAGGAGAGAGGAAAAAGTGACCGAGATGATGCTCACACTATTACGTCTTGGCGAATTTCCCTTATAGTGTGCTTGCGCCATGCTATCAATGGCTGCGTTCAGCAGAAAATAGCGCTTGTTAGAAATAAATTGTTAGAAAAATGGCGTCAGAGTTTAGAATTTTAATATTGGGGGCCAGTGGCCAGACAGTTTTTATCCAAAATATTTTGACGAATATTTGAAGAAATAAAAATTTCACATTTGGAAATGATAACTTGGGCAAAATAGCTTCTTCTTCTTCTTCTTTGGTTTATGGCGATGAACTTGTGTTTTTTCGCCACTGAGGGCACACTATTCCGCCAATGTCACGTGCGCAGCTTTTACAAGGAGGATGTTATGAAAATAAATAATTTTGTAGCTGCAATCTAAGCAAACTTATACCTAAAACAAACAGACATCACAAATAAGACAACACAATACGTGAAAATAAAATATAAAAATAAAAAATAACAAACAATTATGGGAGACAAAAAAGGCTTATGCCCAAGTGTTACTGCCTGTCAGTGACAGTGACGTCTGCAGTCTGCCTGACATTGACATTTTAGTGACAGTTGACAGCATAGAGAAAAGTAATATAATACATAGGAAATAGAGAACCCTCTCTGTCAAATTTTTGAGCCTACTAATTGACAGCCTGGTGTTAAATTCCCTGTATAGTTCCAAAATACTGGACTGTCCTGTCGATGACATTGACAGTGGGGCGCCACCGTCAATACCGGATCGCTGGTTCAGATTTTTGCCATGTTGGAAACCATATAGTTGAACGATGGTAGCGCCCCCCTGTCATTGAGTTTGGCGGGACAGTTCAGCGTGGGTCATCTATACTTAACCTACGTACGTAACGCTCACATACATACATAGTACACGCACACATACATACATAAAGTCCACGCACACATACACACAGTTCACGCACACATAGGCCCTCATAACCTTCAAAGAATTATTGTTTTTATGATGTACAATGTAGAATTTTTTCAAATCCATTATTTTGAAAATATTTATCTTTATGGTGTACGTATTTTCAAAACAATGTATTTGGAAAAATTCTACATTGCACATGGAAATGCAAATAAGTAAACAAAAACTTTTGAATATAATAATTTTACTTTATTTATGAACACACATAATATTATACACCAAAAGCGTCTTTTCGCAAAGTTTTCAACAATAAACACAGAACACAGCACATTGAGAAAACTCAGATCACTTGTGAACATAACAGAAAGTTTCTTCGCGATTCACGAAGGAACGAACAAAACTCCGATGAACCAGAACAGCAGCAGGTACGAAGGAATGAACTTGAATTTGACTCGACTCTTCAATACTTTAATAGGGCCACAGAACTCATAAACGATGGCTAAGAAAACAATAATGCATTCAATTCAACCTAACAAAAACAACACCGGCCATTTTGGAGGAAAAACAAAGTTGCCATATGTTAAATAGTAATTTCTACTACTCTATTATGTAAATTATAACAAAAATGTCAATGTTCAGTTTTAAATTAAAACAAATTAATTTCAATTAAAAAAAGTTTTCACATTGTAATCCCAATCCCAACTAATATTATAAATGCGAAAGTAACTCTGTCTGTCTGTCTGTCTGTCTGTCTGTTACTTACNGTCAATGTTTAGTTTTAAATTAAAACAAATTAATTTCATTTAAAAAAAGTTTTCACATTGTAATTAACAATATTCTCAAATATATTTTAATTAAGAAAAAAATGAAAATATGAAGGAAACAGGAGCAGCGACATCTAGAGCGTTTTAGGGTAGTTAAAAAGTATTTGAATTTATTCACCGATGTCGCTGTTTGGAAGCAAGTTTCACTTCGATGACCGTTGTATGGAAGTTTCTTCACCCTGGTTGACAGGTTTCTCTGCAATAGCCAATGTTTACGTTGAACAAAAACTATATTTTACGTTTTAAAAATGTTAGGAAACCTTAAAGAATTTATTTCCGTGGTGCAAGATGGGCTGACATCAAACAGCAATATACGGCAGACATTACAAGAAGTGCAGAAAGTGAAAAACATTTTTAAAGACAGGCAAAAGGGGTCGACTGAAGCTAAAGTGAACTATGGTGCTGGTGGTGCCTTGTTGGAGAAATATCAAGAGGAATGGGCAGAGTTGCACGAGAACGCGGATAAGAATGCTAAGGCAGCTGATGAAGTTGACAAATTGATACTAGAGCTGCATGAAACTACAAAAGTTAAGTTGCAGACTGCCAACGAGTTCAGCCAAGCATTGTCCCACTTACCAAACTTGACTGCGAGTGTAGCTCAATGTATGGACAGTTTGAGAAACGTACAGACCTTGTTGAAGTCTGTGGAAGAAGATTTGGTGGAATTTGAGGATATTGTGGAGAGGAGCAAGATGGAAAGCTGGAAACTTGACCACCATTATCATCTCACTATGTACAAAGAAAAGAAAATGGGTATTGACAGTTTGTTTGTTGGCATATTAGCTCCAAAATCCTTAGATTCATATTTATTTATTATTTTATTTACTTTGTTAAGAAAACAAACAGTGTTATTTAACATATTATTATTTAACTATCTGATATAATAATATCTGAATAAACTGCATCTAAATTGATTTAGTATCGTCTTATGAAGACAATGTTTTATGCTCTAAACAAATGCAATTATTGAATAGGTAGGTACCTGAAGAAAGTAAATTTCGTGTAAAGCATCTTAATATTTCTTTCAATAAGTCTTATTAGAATATTACCTATTGTTTCATTAAGTTGTAATAACTTTATTAAGAATTCTGAAATTTAAAAACCCTGTAACTTTGTCAAAGCTGCTTGACATGACATTGGTGAAATCATAGTTCTCAAAACTAAGTTGTTGATAAAATAAAAGAAAAAAAACTATTGAAAATAATTAAAAAATTAATAAAACTACTTAAATGTTTCAGTGGCTTTAGAGAGCATCCGCAGTGAACTAGCAAAGAAGAACACGGAACAGAGCTTAGAGCGGGAGAGACAGCAGCTAGCCGAGTTCCAGGCGAAGAGAGACCACAGCGCGGTGGCGTTCCAGTGCGACATGGCCAAGTATCTCATCAGTGGGAACGTCCCATCAGGTATGTATTTAGTGGTGTAAGGATTTTATGTAATCTTTTATAAAGTTAACATTGAAGTAATCCACAAGTAATTTAAGAAAATTATTAATCCAGGAGAGGCATAAAGAAAGGTTTTTTTTATAAATATAGTGTCTATGGTGTAGTACCTACTTGTTTTGCCCTGTTTTGCGTACTTTTTCGTTTTGAATGTTTATTTAGTTTATTTCCAATAATAATATTTAATCTCCATGTTTTCCGAAATTACTTCAACTTGTTTATTTTTTTACTTGCATTGAATCTGTATTTTTAAAATGAATAAATATTTTTAAAAGTAAAACTAAACACTGTCACATTATATAGAAATCCATATTATGACAAATAAAAATAATTTTCCTAAATTATCTAAGTTGGACAATCAAAGCTAGCTTTTCTAAGAATCTTACAGGAATAGAAGAATAGCCTGTGTTTTATTGTTACAGTTGCACCCGCTTCTCCAATCACTTTAGAGCAAGTACAACTGGATGAAGATCCTACAGACCTAGAGAAGTTTCTTGACAGTTGATGAAAACTATAATTTTAAGGTATGATGATGTCACTGAGAGCTTATGTACCTATATGTTTCAAAAAGAGCCTATTTACCATTCCAAAGTTAATATAATTATTGTTGAATATTCAAGTCTTTACTTTTAGTTTTAACTTATCCAAAAAAACAGCCTGAAGTTTAAACAATGCATACAATTTATTTTTTTGTTAATTACCTAATCAATTTAAATTTCGTATCGTCATTCGTCACCCTGTATCATGAACTGAAATTACTTTTCTTACTCAATAATAAATTCAAAAATACAAAAATATATATACAAAGTATTTATGACTAGTAAAAATAAGCACATTGCTAAAACAGCTTTATGTAACACGGGACAAGGGCCGGTCACGACAGTTCGATACACTTCTCGGATCTCACAAAAACTCCGTTCACCACAATATTAATATCAAAAACCTCGGACCACTAAAAGTTGATGATGAAACTCCAAACATTGACACCACACAGGAATTTTATTCAGATCGGCTTCACTGTGACCGGCGAGACATTTTCACAATTTACTCCTATCCTCTTCAACTTTCAGTGGCGAGCGTGTAAAATGTAAAAATAAATGAGTAGCAATCGCGTTTGCGTTCGACACCGACTGGTGGGTGTCCAGTGTATAATGCTACGTTTTCCTCATGATGGGATGAAGGTCTCCCGCGCCGTGGGCCGACATCTTAAGTTTGCTGCCGACGTGGTTCTTCATACGCGGACCAGCATCCTTTATTGAACCACTAGCGTCCTCCATTTCTTCGTCTGAAGAGAAGTCTGAGACGCACAACGTCAAGTGCCTTTTCTTAGGCGGCACCACGTGAAGTGTCCACCTCATGGGCCCCTTGTGGCCCTTCGCCTCGCGCGCTTCGTAATCAGTATCGGAGGCCGCCCGTTGCGAATCGTTCTTCAGGCTCCGCAGTTTACTAGGTCTGTGAGTTTGCTCCTTTTTTTCCCCCCTCGGGGGGGTGTGGAAGTTTTTTAAATTCATAACACTCGATGTATGCCCCTTAGCGTTGAGGTCCGGGAAGTTTTGGGAGTATATCACGACGCTGTCAACTGCTTTTTCTTTATGAAATTTTGCCGGCTGCTTCTTGTTTTTTGCCTCCTCGGGTGCTGCGGGACTGGACGTGCCCTTCTCTGCGGAATTGCCGCTGCTGCAGCTGGTGTTGCTATTGCTAGTGCTGTACTGTTCAACTGCCTGTTTTTCCAACTCACGAAATTTCGTGTCTATACTTTCGTCAGACGCTTTGTATTGTTCCAAAGCCTCCTTTTCTAGTTCTTCGAACTTGTTGTCGACGTTTGGCGGTCGTATCCGCGCAGATGGGAGCACGATTTTCGGGTTCAGTTTGAGTAGTCCAGGCGCGACTAGTTTTTGGGTCAACCTCACGCATCCTACAGGGCTCAAATTGAGGGGAGCAGGGGCGCTCATACTGAGGACGGTGCTGTAGAGTCGTTTTTTTCGCAAGCTGGTATCCAACGCAGCTGCGCTCGTCGACGGTTGCTGGCCATCGGCCGCTACTTCTTCGCATTTGGAGCTTTCCGGTTTTTCAGGCGACGTTTGTGGTTCCTCTGGCTTAGGTTCGGGTTCGGTTGTTTCCTCTGGGACCGGTTCCTTTTTGGGTTCTTCTGGTTCTGCTTTCTTTTGTTCTTGCGTCTGGGTTTGGGGGAGGTGTGTGAGATGGAAGCGGTGATCGAGGCGGGGAGAGGGGTGATCCCTTGGCCACCAGACGCCGTAGCGTCGGTCGGGGCAGCGCGCGGGTCGTTGACCGGTGGGCGCGTACCGGCTGACGTTGGTGCCGCGATACGGCGGGCAGCGAGCGGCCGACGCCCGCATAGCTGCTTGCACGCTAGCTGAGAGACGGCCCATCGCTCGCTGGCACTCAGTAAGTTGAGGAGGTCTGGGTGGGTCGAACTGAAACTGAAAGAAAAAAAAATACGTGAATCATTTAAAATTATTCCAGCGGCACTCCTACTCTTTAGCTAGGAAAGTTACGTTACGAATTGTTACAATTTAGCAAGGCAACTCAATCACGATACCCTTTGTTTGTAAAGGCGGGTATCGACATTGCGAGGCTGGTTCGCGGGACATATGGTTACTTCGCGATGTGAAGACCCGTTTGCCTCTTGACTTACTGCTTAAACAAGGAAACTCGCGAGCAACCTTGCAATGTCGATAGCTTATCAATGGCTTTACCCATCTGCTCCATAAAAACAGCTCTCATAAACTCACCTTACAAGTAGGATCGCAGAACAACTGCGCGGGTACTTCCAAGCAATACGCCGGTGGAGGCGGCGCGAGCGCAGCCAGTCGTCTCGGCTGCCGGCGCCGGGCCCGTATCTTGCGCGGGATGGGCGGGGGGCTTGGGGCCCGGGCTCGGGGGGCCCGGGGCGCCTGCGGGGCCCACAGGGGCCGGACGCTGAGCACGCGGGCGGCCAGTGCAGCCTCCTCGCCCGCCGCCCGCGCCCCAGCCGAGTCCCAGCGCTCGCTAGCTGCCGATCGGTGCCCGTTAATTTCTGATCGTCATTTTTACTATGCCCAGTGGGCTAGGTGGCCTGGGATGCACGCCGTGATAAGCGTTTATCGCGCTATTTTATCGATTTAACGCTAATAAGCTCGGCGATTTAACGCTAATAAGGCGCGCATCCTAATTCCTAGCCCGGCAGGAGTGGAGTGGACCAGGTTTAGAGGAATAAAGAGAGCTTAGTGCCAATATTAGGATGTAGATGAAAGTTTAGGTAAATACACTCGACAGCAAATAAATCGCACCACCCGCGACGCGAACTTTAAAGATTTTCTTTTGACACAATAATGGTGCCCCAACAATATTGGTGTTATTTGAAAGCCCAATAAATATCCTTAAAGAAAAACACATTTAATTTCTTAATAAATGATTAACATATACCATTAAATGTGACTTGAAAAAAGACCTCACTTTGGGCTCACCTCTGGGATCAATTAGACCAAATTTTATGGTTATAAAACCAAATAATGATCACACGTGTCCTCTTTAACAGATGGATACGATACGATAGTGCCGACCCAGCCAGGACGAGGCCTGTCCCGGTCAAACCGGTATACCAGGGGGCACGATTTTAAGGAAAGACACGCTCTGGGATGGGAGGGGACGGCCGACTAGCCGCTGCGTCTTTTAAACCGCAACCGGTCGACCACAACCAAGTAGATATGCATCCTGAGCCTGGTCTAGGAAAATAGGTAAAGACGGGTTATCGTTGATAGGACTGAGCGTTGATGCGATGAGATGGGCGGTCTGGCCTTTGATGAGATGAGATGGCTTTGGTTGTTCGTGGTTCATGTACTGCTGCTAGACTAGCCTCGTTGTTCTCTTGATGTCTGCGGTACTAAGTTTTTGTCGTCTCTGTATCTTCCAGATTAATTATTTCTTCTACTTCTTTTCTTAGTGTCGTTGGAAGGACTAAATGCGTGGTGCGATGAGATGGGCGGTCTAGCCTTTGGTGTGGGAGGTGGCTTGTTTATTCTTTGTTCTCGTACTAGGTACTGCTTGACTAGCTTCATTGTTCTCCCAATTGTATCGTCTTATTTTCTGCCTATTATATTCCTCCAGGTAAAACACTTCTTGTATTTCTTTTCTTTAGCTTAATCTGGCTTTTAGTGAGACGGCTTGGTTATTCTTAGTTCTTGTACTGCTACAAGACTAGCTTCATTGTTCTTCCGATTTTATGCTTCTTTTCTTAATATTGGTGGTCGGACTGAGCGTTGATGCAATGCGATGGGCGGTCTGGCTTTTGTTGAGGCGGCTTGGTTTTTCTTAGTTCTACTGCTACAAGACTAACTTCATTGTTTTTTTCAATTTTATGCTACTTTTCTTGATATCGTTGGTAGGACTGCGCGTTTCTGTGATGAGACGGGCGGTCTGGCCTTTGGTGAGATGTCTTGGTTCTTGTACTGCTGCTAGGCTATCTTCATTTTTCTCCTGAGGTCTGTGTTAGGTAGGTACCTACTGAGTTTTTGACGTTTTCTTTGTTTACATGTTCCGGGTCAGATATTTCTTATGCTTCATTTCTTTGTGTCATAATAAAATTGAATTCACTCTTTTCTATTTCTTGGATAGTAGATGTTTAAATTTTTGTTTCCATTTATCCACAACCTCTGAAAAACTTGACACTTTTGTTTTTTTTTTAAATAATTACTACTGCGATAACTGTGGTTTTGGGTTTTTGTCGTCTTCTTTGTTGTCTGTTTTCCCTGAGTCGAATATTTCTTTTTTTTTTTTGTCTTGGGCTAAATAAATCTTCTCTCTTCGATTATTAATTTGATTTGTTTGCACTTTTGACTATTCAGTCGATATAATATGCGGTTCTGTGTTTTTGTCGTCTTTTTCGCTGTCTTTTGACATTATTTTTCCATATCTAGTGTTTCTTGTGCTGCTTTTCTTATTTATTTTTATGGTGGGTTAATTTAGTCTTCTCTCTTTCGTTTCTTGGATTGTGCTTGATGCGGTAAGCGGACGGCGGGCTACTAAAAACGGCATTTTTAGGAGCGCGTTCATATTTTCCTAACATTAAGCGGTTCGCCTTGGTGTAATCTAATATGATTTCTTTTAGTTCAATGATCTTTATGCAGGGTGATTGTTACGTGTCCTCTTTAACAGATGGATAGCGATTAATCCCAACTTAACAGTTTTATAGTCATAAAAAATGGCTATAGCGTAACTACCTATTTTTTGAAAAAGTGACTCTAGATCCTTGTAAAGACACATTTTTGGGGTAAAAATCTTTCCTTTAATAAAATGAAGTTTAGAACTAGGCTTTTAATTGGTGCCAATATTGGTGGGAAGTAGGGATGCATACGTTTGAAAATGCTTGTCGCGGGTGGTGCGATTTATTTGCTGTCGAGTGTAATAGGGGGGGGGGCAAGGGTCACTAGTCCCAAATCAGTGGTAGGGCTTAAGTAATACTGGGAAGTGAAAAAGCACGTTTTAAAAGCCTATTTGCAGAAAAATCTTCGTAGAAATTTAAAAAAGAACAATTTTTTTTTCTGTGGTTTGGTATTCAGTTGTCCGAATCAAACCCTATAAAATAAATAGAAGGAAAGACGCACAAATCGTCATCGGTGAGCATCCTGTACTGGCGGCGGCGACGAGGGAAGCTCCGGTCTGGCGAGTCGTCTACCAGCTTCCGAAACCAGTACTCCACCTGGCGAAGATCAGTAAATTCACAGATTTCTCATTTTACAGGTACAATTCTGCTTTATACCGGTTTACTAACAAAATCTTTCAAGTCTTGGCGTTTAAAGGATTATTATAAGTTTTATGCCCGTTTTCACCATCAATCTCTAATAATTGTTAAGTGACCCCTATGTTGACCCATAACAGGCATTTTGTTTTCATTAGGGGTCACTTATGGGATTGATGGTGAAAACGGGCATAAGTAATTTCAGACCATTTCAGGGACCTACTATTTATTATGCCTATGTTCCAAAATTAGCTAACTCTATCGGCATCACTTCGGGAAAATTGGTGCTGAGAAGAAGCGATGACTGAAACTATGTCATCTTATTCAACCTTGATAAAAGTATTAGTGATGTACTCCAAATACATACTTTTAGTCTTTCGTTTCAGCCAAATGATGTCCACTGCTGGACAAGGGCCTTCCCCAAGGATTTCCACGTCGATCGGTCCTGTGCTGCCCGCATCCAGGTACTTCCCGCGACCTTAACCAGATCGTCGATCTAGTTCTTTTGTAAGAGTAAATAGTAAAGATCTCTCACCTCTGGTAGCATCCAACATTCCGTAAGATCGGAGTTTTCACATCCTTGTCCGTTGTACCCTCGTCCATTTGGTCTTTCGTTAGGACTGGTATAACATTTTTCTCTGAAAAATCAATTGCATATTCCGTGTATGACACATCATTGAAATCATTCAGAAGGAAGTATTCTTGGTCGTATGGCCTCAGCCTCGAGTTTAGCGGGCAGCGGGGCGGGCAACGCATACCCGTTCTCGAAACAAGCGGGCAGCTCGCGCGGCGCTTTAGCGGCGAAGTGTTGTGTTCGGGGTTGTGTTGTCGAGATATTTGTTTTTATTCGCAAACGAAATGTCTGAACAACGGCGACAATTTTATTTCGATTCAAATTTATTCCTAACGCTCGATTTATTGTGGGCAAAAGAAGGAGTGCGCTGCCCGCTCGTTGCCCGCTCCCGCGCCGCTGTTTTCGAGAACCGGTCTATTTTATTTTACGCATAAGATCCTGCCGCTCCCGCCCCGCTGCCCGCTAAACTCGAGGCTGCGGCCTAAGTGTTAATAGTGCAAAGTATTTATAAATTAACTAGCTGTGTCTGCAAATTCGTACACGCAAGTGCTACTTTTCAAGATTTCTCAAGTATACCTATGGAATTGGGACCAGTTGTTTTGGTATGTATAATGTACATACATTGGTGCACACTTTAGTAGGTACCTATGTCATATTAACAATTTAGTCTTATTTGTAGTGTTTCTTTAAGATTGATATTTAAATGGAGAGTTTACCTGACTTCGTCGTAATAGAAATTTCCATAAAATTGTGCTAATCTCGATTCCGGTATAACATCTTTTACACTTCTCCTGCCACTACAGCTGCCGTTCTCTTGGCTCTGGCTTGATACGCTTCTTTTATCTATGGATTTGAAAAATACGTTATTACCTCCTGTGTTTTGAAAACTAGTTTTTGTTCAAGATTGTAGATTCGTTCCTTTCAGCCAAATGTCGTCCACTGCTGGACAAAGGCCTCCCCTAAAGATTTCTACAACGACCAGTCCTGCGCGACCTTCATCAGATCGTGGTCCACCTAGTAGAAGGCCTGCCCACACTACGTCTTCCGGCCCTCAGGAACGTTTCTGCCCCAACGGCCGTCAACTCTACGAGTGCCCTGCCTACTGCCACTCGAGTTTAGCAATTCTGCGGGCTATGTTGGATTAGATTCTTGCCTGTTAATTCGTTGTTCTTCTGCAAGTTCTGCGATTCTGCTGCTGCGTCTTGTAGCACTTGCGATATTCGGCAGTGTTGTGCCCATAGGCGCTGAAAAAATGTAGGCTTATTATCTATCGACTTTATGTACTTAGATGAAACTTATTTCAGGTATGATGGATGTTTGCAGATTTTTTATAAAAGATTATCGAAACAGAACAGAAATCAAACTCGAGAAAGTACGGGCACAAGGGACATTCTCAGCATATGCAGTGGGCCCTACGTGTGTTTAAAAGTAGGTATAACAGTAATAAAAGTAAGCAGCGGTGTGTGAAGACTAGACATAGTAACTGCGTGCACTAAACTGCATCTACGCAAAGCGTCGGTGGAATCATACACTCTAGCTGGAGGAATATTCTTTCCTCTCCCTTCGTGTTTCTTCGCTGCAGGTCTAGATTGCCACATTCACGTGAAAGGTGGTCATGGATTTATAAGCTTTTTTACACCCTTGACAGGCGAATTTTCAATTAGTCTTTTCGCTGTTGGTGGCTAAATTGTTTTCATAGATTGGTTTCAGAGGAATCCAATAAAATGTTTACTCCACGTGGTTTTTCGATACTTCTGATAAGTTTTTGACGTCAAACAGCTGACTGCAAAGGCAAATACCGACTGGTCTGCTGTATAGGGCTATGGGTACCTGATTAGCTATAATGAATTCATCAGGGGGTTCCGTAGTCCATGTGAGATCCGCACAAAGGGCTATATGTGCCCACGCTGGCGAGTACCGATCCACTTCGAAGCTCATTCAATGTGTGACATCTCACGCATACAATTAATTATCTTTAGAATAAGAAACGAACTAATATAATAATCACTAAATTTTAACAGAAAAACTAACGGTAAAACTGTTAATAAAAATGACGACAATTTGAAAGACATTGGTGTTTAAATCTACAATAACAAAATTTTCCTCTTTTTTGATAGATACATGATATATTTTTTTCTTTTATTTGAAATCGCTTTTCGAATTTCGTACCAAATTGAATGAAATTGTCATCGCGATGGCTTGGCTCCGCTCCTCAGAGGTTTGTTGTGGTATCTATGCGCAGGAATAAGTTTTACAATATTTCCAGATTATTGAAAACTTTGGATAAACACACTGCTTCTGAAAACGGCTATAGAGCCGTATAATTTTGTAGAGAGACCTACATTTTTTGGGTTCTTAAAACTTTAGAAGAAATCTCTAAAACATTATTTTTTATCAATAGAAGTTAGGTGATAGGTATCCCTGTATCCTTGTCTTATCTCTTCCATGTAGCTATAACATTTCCATATTCTGCTGAAATGTAAGGCTAAGCCACGGTTGTATTTTATAAGATCTACCAAGCTTAGAATCTCGGAATCGAAATACTGAATCCTGCAAGATCTATGCATCTATCTAATAGAGTTTGATTGAGATAAATAGGCGTTTGCTGTAAGAAATGGTCCAGTTTTGAAAGCGCTTTGCAAAAGTTCCTATCTATGAATGGACCAATGGACGATGCTCCCGCCATTGCACCGGGAGTGGTGCTTTTATTTTTAAATATGGCAACCGGCTGGTTCGGTTCTGTGAAACGGTATCCCCGCCGCCGGCTGGGTCGTCACCAGTGTTGCCAGAAGGTTACTTTTGTAACCTTTTTGGTTACTTTTGAACTGCTGTGGTTACTTTTAGGTTACACTAATGAAAAGGTTACTTTTAGGTGATTTTTCAGAAAGTGTAGAATTAACTTTACAGGTTATTCAGTAAAAAATATTAATAGTGACAATTTAAAAATTATGTCATAAAGTGCATTTAAACTTGAATTTGATTTATTATTTGTTAAGAAAAATGAGTTTTAGCGAATGTTTTTCGATAATAAAACGCAAATCCATGAAACGTTTTTATACGACTGGTCACTTTTCGTATTTAGATGATCAATATTGTATTCATTTTCCATCCATGAACAACCTTACACAATCATCGCTCCGCACCCCCCGGTATAAAGGTTACTTTTTATTCAAAAAGGTTACATTTTTTTATATTACTGGTAATTTCTGACAAGACCCGACTGGCAACACTGCTTGTCACTTGAAATGTCAAAAGAAAATAATAAACACGAGCAAGCAACATCCTAATCACTAATGATGTTAGAATCTTAATAATTTCGTGGTAAAGACATAAATTANTTATTCAAAAAGGTTACTTTTTATTCAAAAAGGTTACTTTTTTTTATATTTCTGGTAATTTCTGACTAGACCCGACTGGCAACACTGGTCGTCACGTCAGTTTCGGTCGCGCAGGTGGCGCTGCCGGTCGCTTCCACGCATGCGCGCCGTGCACTGTGCCACCCCGACGGATAGTGACAGCTCACAATAGTTTTATGATTTATTTTATTTATAAAATAAAATTTAAACAAAACAGACAAACGAACTCGGGCTTTTATAACAGAAAAGTGTTTTAAGTGTTCCAATAACTGTGTTACGTGTTTTGAATTAACATAATAATTTAAAATATCGATTTTAACGAGAGTGCGTATTTTCGTTGATTTTTCATTACGATCTTTTTGTGTTTTGCAACAAGTGCCGCTAGTTTGTGCCGGGGAACAGGTTTCGTGGGTCCGTTGGGTTTTTGTGTACCTACCTATATTATTTGTGGCTGTGTATTGTGTAGTTTCGCGACTTGTGCTCTCGGACGGTGTGTGATGCTGTGAGGAGAGGAGTGCATCTGTCCGGATCTGAGAATCGCCGTTGCATGGTGAGTAGCCGAGCCACTGGATGGCTGGCCGGCGAGCCACTGGTTCGCTGGTAGAGTTATGCAAGTGTCGTAACTTGAACGGACGCGCTTTCGCGTAGTCATCTCGATGTATTTGAATTTTGACCAGCGCATACAAAATTGCTTTCACTGTTAACAATTACTTGCATCATTCTAATACACTTGTAATGGATTTGATAATCCTTTCTATTTCAAACGCGTGACGTAAAATGTACTTACGGATAAATCACTTTTTAATAAGTAAGGTGCTTTTTAAACTCATTCGTAGGCATTTATAGTATGTACTTGATAACTACTTTATTATATTGAAGAACTATTGAACTCACAAGAAGCAAATCACGTATTGTTTTAAGTTTATACAATAAAATCTACAAAACTTATCTATTTAGGTCTATTCCAAGTATATTATGTATATTATCATAATTATCTATGTAGATATCAATGCAGTTTAATTTGTTTATCTATTCAATCTAGAGCAGCGTCTGTTATAATAGACGAATATTAAACCAGTTCACGTACTTGTTTATCATTGAATACATTATGAAATCTTTAACATTTATTTAAATCACACTATGCATGAGGTACACTCATAATTACCATAACTTTACTAATGTATATTTAATTATATTAAATTCCTTTGCATAATTCACTGGTGTTAGATTACTCAGAAATTTTAATTAAAAATGAGGTCTTAAATATTATGCGGAGATCTTATAATTAATTTTGAATAAAGTAATAATATAAAAACAAAAATACTATCCACCTAACTAGGTCAATGCATTGCTTATAACATAAAAAAAACAAATAAATACTTATTACATAGTTATTCATAATAATAATTATTAACGTAGCTATAGTTACGTCATTATTATTCAATAATTGTTTTCTTTTATTTTGGTTAACATTAAGAGTAGGCGCACACTGTTCATTTTTCGTCGGCCGATAGTTTAGTCGGGCAGTTGATCAGTATGGGCATGTATGGGATTGCGCACACTACGCCGATTCGATTTGGCCGATTCTTCATACAAATTAAAATCGGGCACAACTATCGGCCAACTAAAAATCAACGGTGTGCGCCTACTCTAACTTACCATTGATTTCTGTTTTCTTTTTGTTTTGCTTTATCACTAACCTTGCTGCTTATTTTCATCTACAGGTTCACTTGTTGAAGAAGTGTTGTAGAAGTAACCAGCTTGCAATAGAAACTCATCCTTACTAACTGCATTTTATTTGTTTTTGTTTCTTTTTGTTGCTTATAATTTTACTGCCTTTTCCTTTGCTTTGTATCTGTTCCTTGTTCAGTTTTTTTTGCTTTTAATTTCACTCCCTTTTTTTGCTTTAAATGTGACCTGTTTTTCTAATATCGATCTGTGTGATTTGGTAATAAATAACAAAAATCCATTCTGTATTCTATAATTGATCTAACTAAATATTGATGTATCTATTTGTTGTTTTTTAATCAAAAGCTTCAATTTCATTGAATCCAATTTAATTCAAGCTTAGAGCTTGAGATATAATCGTGTCTTGAGCTTAATTGGTTACACAACCTGATTTTTCCAATATATTTTTAAAGCACTTATCGATACCAGATAAATAGAAGTTATATACCTTAGTTTATTTGCTTCTGCTTTATAATTGTCCAAATTCATGTCTAAATGTAAATATTTTGTATTGTGAAGCTTCTTTTATTATGTATTTTCGTCACACTAAATTATTGTCTTGAAAACGTATTTATTACTGCATTAAACGAGTTCCCTGCACGCCTCCTAGTGTTTTCATGCAATAAACAAACACGCTTGTCTAAAAACTGCTTGTTGACATCAATAAAAACTATAACACTCACTTACTGGCTTTTTCGTTTTACTAACCAGCGCGTGACTAATAAACTTCACATAAACATTACCGAGTTATTATAACCTACATTACATAGGGGAGAGTTCGGTATATTGTACCGCCGGGTAAATTGTACCACCCTCATATTTCGTAAAGTATTTATTGAATGTCTGTAATTGCAACACTCAGCGATACACAACTAAAATCAATTAATATCGGCCATGTGGTTTTTGCCGTGACAACAAACACGTGTGTTTTATTTTGAAAAGTATTTTTTCATTGTTTTCAAGTAACTATTGACAATACATGTTTAGATTGTAATTTTGTTAAATTTAATCACAGGGTGTTTCTAATATATTATTTAGAAGCGTAAATTAGTGTGGATTACAATTATTTGAAACATTTTTCGGTATTTATAAGCTATATTTTTTACCGATTTTTTAAAAGCACTATCACCTAGTCGGCTAAATTGTACCACATCAAGTTGTATGAAACTTTACCAAAGGATTTTGAATTTTTTTTTAGTAAATCATATTTTGAAGTTATAATAGCGTAGTTATGTTTGACTAACAATAAATGAAAGCAAAAGACTGGCAAAGTAGATTAGGTACAAGTGTGCGTTACGATAATTGGAATTACAAAACTTGTACTCAAAATCGTGATAACGTGTAAAACAATATCGATTGTCTATGTTATTAACTACTGTTCCTCTTCGTTTCCTAATTTGTTAAGAATGTATCGTATAATATTTTGCCATAGTTTTTTTAAAGGCTTGAAATTTATTGAAATGCAATTTAGTAACCCTGTGGTACAAATTATCGAACCGGTTGGCTAAATTGGACCGAAGCTCTGAACTCGTACTTTGTTGATTTGTGCTAAATATATAACAATAATGTTAATTAATACTTATGAAATAGTAAGTTGAATAATGTATCTTTTATTATATACCATGGACATTAGCAAAAACAAAAGAAAACTATGTGTAAAATGGGATTGAAAAAAACTGGTCCAAATTAGGGGACTCTCCCTTACTTCGTTTGCTAATAAAACGATGAAGATACGCATTTCAAAGTACCTACCTACAGTCAGCGTCAAAAAGTTTCGTGACACATAAAATAGCCAAAAAGTTCGCAGCACGTCTTTGTTATGATCGTTTCATCCACGAAGATGCGCCCCACCAATTTTTGGTCGAGAGAAGCGCGGGGTGCGGGGAGTTTGATCCGAGCAATCCGAGCGTCATTATTGTAGTGTGCGTGTGCACTCATGGATTTAGCGTGTACCGATAACACTCAAACATTAGTGGAAGATTGGTGGGGAGCGTCTTCGTGGATGAAACGATCT